GGATTTAATTGCATTACTGGGAGGTGACTCAGAGCTTCTCCTGTTTGTAACAAAGAATTGAGAAGGGATACAGCACTCACACCACAGTCAGAGAAAAGGCTTTTAGGGAGTTAGTTTATAGAGGAGGTGAAGTGCTTTGATATATATAATACCAAAGGGCCCCCCAGCAGATCCAAGGGCTGAGTAGGAAGAAGAGCTAGGTTTTTATCCTGTTAATGGTGGACCTTCAACCATTGGCTAGCTTTCTGGTGCATCTGCTGCTATTGGCTGGTTTTCTGTAACATCCCTCCCCTTTCCAGGTAATAGGCACAGAGCACGCCAGATTTTATGCTGTGTCCTTGTCTATGTCCCTGAAACCCAGGGTCAATTCAGCCATTGTGAGGTAGTGTGAATGTCCTGTCTTTCCTGCCCAACTAGACAAAGAAAAGACAGTAAACTCATATTGCTTTAGGCCTGAAATTTCAAAAGAAATTACAAAGCGACCACAACCTTTCATTATTCTGTAGATACTTTGACACATCTTTGTTTCCACAATGGTTTAAAATCTTTTTATTTCTTACCTAAAGAAAATTACGATTCATTCTACTCTGTCCTGTAGGATTGCTATCTATATATGTGTTGGAACTGACTTGGCAATGTGTGTGTGTGTGTGTGTGTGTGTTTGTGTTTAAGCAACGGTTTAAAATCATGGTGATCCCAGGTCATGCAGATGAAAAAGGAATTATTAGAACTCAGATTCTTGTGAAAAGGGAGAATAAAAAAGATGAGGCAATTTAACCATTATCCTTAAACAATCTGTACTAAAATTGTTGGACAGGAACCTATACTGATATGTAAACATTCACTGAAAACACAGTAAATACAAAGAGGCTTCAAAGTTAGTGGAAAACATCCCCTATACTTCAATTCTCTTTTTCAATACATTTTTAAAATCCCTTTTTATTTGTATTATAGTAAAGCCTGTGAAAGACAAAACTTGTGTAAGGTGGAAACTTGTCAGAGAAGAAAAATTCAAATATAGACCTGGAAAAACAAGGCACAGTCTGCTGGATTCTGGTTCTCACAAGTGCCCATGTATATTAAAAAAAAAGTTAACAAGGAATTCAATAAAGAGACCTACTCTTTTAATAGCAAGGCTATGAAAGGGAATAAATAGGCTATCAGAAACAGGGGAGAACACAAGCACAGAGGAGGCACACATTGACAAGTGGGATATAATGAAGATAAAACATCTTTGTACATAGAAAGAATTCACCACGAGAGTAATAAGAGAGCAGCCCACAGACTGGGAAAACACCTTTAGCAATGACACATCAGACAAAGGCCTTATTATTAAAATCTACAATACTCTGCTTACAATAAGAAAAAAACGTAATTGTCCACTGAGGAGGTGGGAAAAGGACCTGAACAGAAGTTTCACAGGGGCAGAAATCCAAATGGCCAATAAACATATGAGAAAATGCTTCCGATTATTAGCCATAAGAGAAATGCAAATTAAAGCAACAATGAGATACTACCTAATATCCTCAGATAGTCCAATTCAAAAAATCAGAAAGTTACAAGTTTTGGAGGGGCTGTGGTGAGATAGGAACTCTCATCTATTGCTGCTGGACCTGTAGGTATGTACGGCCACTATCGAATTTGATTTGGTGATATCTAAAACAGATAGAAATCGAGCTACCATATGACCCAGCAATCCCACTACTGGGCATATACCCAGAAGAGGCAAGAAATAAACCATGGCCAGACATCTGCACTCCAATGTTCATCACGGCACAGTTCACAATCACAAGGAGTTGGAAATAACCCAAATTTCCATCAATGGACGAATGGATTAAAAACCTGTAGTAAATACATACATACCGTGGAGTACTAAGCATCCTGAAAAAGCAGAGATGAACGCATGAAGCACATCGCCACATGGGAAGAACTGGAGGAAATTATGCTAAGAGAAGTAAACCAAGCACAAAAAGACAAGTAAGTACATGAATTCACTGAGGTAAGCTTCAAAATGCAAAAGGGCCATAGGAGAAGAGCTACTATATACATACATTCCTGGGGTGAGGTCCAGGTAATATGGCAGGGGCCAGACCAAATCCAGGGATACATATGTCAGCCAAAAGGAGGGGGGAAAAGACATGAGTAGCGGGGTAACAGGGCACTAACCCATCCAAGGGGAGGGTATTGTTTATATCTCCACAGGAGAGGGAGAAAGGTACCAGACTTCAACTCAGTGCACCAAGACGTGAATGTAACATACCAGCATGAAGCAGAGAACCAATAGAGAGGTCTGCAATGGCCAACCCCGATCCCAGCTACATGCCCCTTCTCTGACCCAGAAGAATGCACTTCAGAGGACAGCACTGAAGCTACAGCTCAGGGAGAGGGGCACATCTGATCAGAGGACACAGGAGCAAATGGAGAGGGAAGGAGAGGAAAAACATCCTGGCTCACCCAGTCCCGAGGATGCGATTAATGCTCAGAGCATCCAATGCACAGAGAAGACCATAGGACCCGGCCCACCACAAGACACAATAGCCCTCACTGACCCACCGCCCTACAGGGACAGTGTGGGAACTGTGCCTGATCTGACCCCACCACACTGGGGCTAAACACTAAGGGCATGAACAGAGCAGCAAGGGAACAAAGCAACAAAGTCCCCAAGTAATATCAAAAATAGACTGAAGCCACCCCATCAGACTTGACCAGGAAACACTCTTAAAGGTCAACAGACCTGGAACTATTTATAGGCTTTTGTCATTTTTGTTGTTGTCGTCGTCATCTTGTTTTTGTGCTTATTAGTGTCTCTGCAGGTCTATCAAGATAAAATAGGTGGGATAAACAATTCAAAGAAAACAAGGGGACGGACTCGAGGAACAAAGAAGGGAAAGTGGGGGAAAGGAAGTGGGCTGTCCACAACCCCAAGGAAAAGGGAAAAACAAGTGATCTAAAATTGATGGCGAGGAGGGCATATGATGCCTGGTGGGCTTGATCATGGGCAATGTAGCTGAGAGGAATTACTGAAACCAAAATGAAGGCCAAACATGACAGTGGGACAAGAGGAAAATAAAAGGAAGTAATAGAGGAAAGAACTAGGAGGCAAAGGACATTTATAGAGGTCTAAATACAGGAATGTATATATATAAATATATTTATATATAACGATATGGAAATAGATCTATGTACATGTTTATATAAGTATTAAGGTAGCAGACAGACATTGGGCTTCTACTCAATAGTAGGCTTCTACTTCTAATAACCTGGAATTCTGTGATACTCACCTTCCCAACACAATTGCTGAAGACAAAATAGGTGCATAAGCAAATGTGTGAAGAAAGCTGAGGGTGCCAGGCTACTAAAAGATACATCTGATGTCTTAAAGGCTTAAAGACAAACAAGCGGTCATCTAGTTGAGAAGCAACAAAGCCCACATGAAAGCACACTAGCCTGTATGATTATGAGGTGTTAATGTGATCAGCTATCAGTCATCAAAGACCCAGAACAAAAAAAGCATATCGATGTGAATGAGGGGGAGGGTAGAGACGAGACCCAAAGCTCATCTTTAGACAATTGGATATCCCCTCACAGAAGAGTCACAAGGAAGAGACGAGCCAGTCAGTGTGCAGTATAGCACCGATGAAACACACAACTTTCCTCTAGTTCTTTAATGCTCCCCACCCATCCCCATCCCCCTAATTTTCATGATGCAAATTCTACCTTACAAATATGGTTAGACCAGAGCATGTACACTGGTACAGATAACAGCTCGCAACACAGGCAATCTAGGACAGATAAGCCCCTCAGTTCCAATAATGAGAGTAGCAATACCAGGAGGGTAAGAAGGTGGGGGGAGTAAGGAGGAACCTATGACAATGATTGACATATAACCCCCTCCCAGGGGTACGAACAACAGAAAGGTGGGTGAAGGGAGACAGTGGTTGGTATAAGACATGAAAAAAAAAAGTTATAAATTATCAAGGGTTCATGGGGGAGGGAGGAAAAAGAGCTGATACCAAGGGCTCAAGTAGAAGGAAAGTGTTTTGAAAATGTTGGCAATATCTGTACAACATATGTGCTTGAACACAATGGATGTATGTATGGATTGTGATAAGAACTGTTAAGAGCCCCCGATAAAAATTACTTAAATTAAAAAAGAGAAAAAGGGACCCAAGCATTAACAGCTATCTCCAGCAGCAGTAAACGTTTTAAACCGGTTAATTATTCAAGGCAATTACTGCAAAACCTGGTAATCACTCAAGGTAATCACTCAAGGATGCTATAGTCCAGGAAAAGGGAGGCATGGCCATTTAGGTAAGTATGGATGCTGAAACCCTGGGGTAATGAAGATTATAACCAATCCCTTGGGAAACATAAACTATTTTACCATTGCCTGAAAGCCCTTTGATCATTGAAAACCTGATAATTACCTCATGGGACTATTGCAAAATCACTTTCTTGTCACATAGTTTAATGTATATAACTTGCTATATTTTGACTAAATTTTTGAAGCAGTTCAGAGGTAGCAAACCCAACTGTTTATTTCTTTCAGTGCTTGCAGAAATAAATTTAGAATTCCTCTAATCAACCTGGTTTTTTCTATGGCTGTATAGTGATAGGCTGTCCCGGGCCCCTTGTCTAACCAAAACCCAACTCACTTTCATGGAGTTGATGTCAGACAGAAAAGAACTGTGCCTGTGAGTGTCCAAGACGATAACTCTTTATGGGATTAGAAAGTCCACCTGCTCCCATGGAGTAACTGGTAGTTTTGAACAGCTGACATTGAGGTTAGCAGCCCAACTTGTAACCACGCTATAACCATTATGCCTCGAGTGGTCCTCAGAACCTCAGTCAGCCAGCAACAAAATGGCTACTGAATATGAATGTAGAATTAGGTTAATTAGTAAAGTTTGTTAGTAAGTAGCTATGTTTTGCTTCTTGTTTCAAAATGTAATAATTTCATATGTGAGAGTTACCATTTTCTGATGAAAATTCAGACTCCATGAAAAGTAAATAAAATCTTTATTTTGATTTTTTCTCCTGTGACACAAGTCTGTTTATGTCCCCGAGTTCTCTAAATGACATGGTTGCAGAGCCTCTTTCAGCTGGTCTTGACTGAAAATCAAACAGATTAAAAACGTTAGAAATGCATACACATAAATTCCCAATTAAATACTTCAATGCTGTCTCATAAATAATCCCTTACACTACATTAATAAACAAAAAAGAAAGGAAAATGTGAGCTCACTAAGAAGAGTGGATTGTCTTAATGTTACCTGTGAGTCATGATATTTCCATCCAATCATGTAATAGATCTGATACGTGGCAGGTAGCGAACCATCCTCATTTTTGTACATTTCTGTAAAGACATAATGGGAATCTGAACAACTCCAGGGGGAAAAGCTGCCCGTGACAATAAAGAGATAACAAGGGCTGTTTGGGGACGGGGCTGGAACTACAGGATCTGTATTTTAAGAGACAAGGTCTGTGTCGGGTGAGGGTTAGGCAGTCTAGGGTGCTGAAATAGGAAAGGGAAAATTACCGGCAATTTTAAGGAAATCACATGGCACAAAGTCCGTGGTGAGGAACAGGTGGGCAAGTGGCCAGCTCTCTTACCTCTATAGACAGCGGCAGCCGCCAGCATCGTGTCTCGGTGCAGGAGAGGTTTTCTGTTCCACGAACAGTTACTCTCACCCATCCCTGAAAACATGCAGCAGGGAGTTTAGTGAATACTCGTATCCAATGATATCACTTTCCCCATTCTTCAATATCATGAAAAAAACAAACAAACCAACAGCAGACATTTTACTTCCATTTTTAAAGTTTTTCCCCCCCTTATTTAAGAGATCAAAATTTAACTGTAAAATCCTGGCTCAAATTGTAAATGTACTGTCTTCTCCAGTTAAAACAGGGTTCAAATAAATGAAACAAACTGCCATTAATCCATGTCAACACATACAGTGACCCTATATGACAAAGCAGAACTGCCCTTTGGGTCTCTGAGACTTTAAAGAAGGATCATCAGTAATAAACTCATTACTCATGATCTAATGAGTAAAAAGGCTATTTCTGTAATTTAAATTTCAAGAGGCCTTGTAGTGGAATGAAATTTCTTAATAGGTCTTTTCTACCGATGTGTCTGTAACTCACCACATGATTGGTGGGAATACGCAAACAGGGCAACACTAATAGAGGGGAGTAGTCAGTTTTAGTTCCTACCCCCTGCCTATAAGGATGAGCCACCTTTGAAGTAGGAGCAGAAATACCAGGATCACTGTTAAGTGGAGCCGTTCTAGGTCTCTGTCTAAAGTGGCAGAGGTCGAGACTAGAGGCACCAGAGGCCAGTGCTAGGAGACAGGATAAATGAACAGCACTGAGGCTGTGGGACCATGAGGCAGAGCAGTGGGTGGACTTCCTGCCCACAGAAGCTAATGTCAAAGGATGATGGGACTGAGAAGTGGAGACCTGCAGTGAAACCTGGCTGTTGGCTAAGGAGAAGTGCTGCTTTGGACCAGTGACTGCATCCTTAATGTTTTCTGATCCTGGATTGTGGTAACCTGTTCGCTCCCCTAATAATGCCCTTTCATCATGAGTATTATCTGTGAGTTCTGTGGGGCCACTGAATTGAAATATGGAATCTAGAGCAGGTAGAAGTGCTGCGGGAGGAATGAATGCTTGGCATCAGAATAGGATAAATAATGATGGCAGAACAGAGGCATGCCTGACCTTTGCCTTGTGGCAACAGGGAAGCAAGAGAAGGCCAGATATGGCTCCCTCTATGCTATTTCCTGCAGGGCTCACAGCTACAAATGGGTAAATGGTCAAAATTGTAGGAGTTACTTTTTCATGTTAACTCAGGAACCACTAAGTATTCGGTCAGCATGGAAACTTATGTTCATGAGGGGGGGCGGTGGGGGGGGGGCCGCTGTCGTAAAATCTCTAATTGTCAGGAACATATACTTTCCCCTTCAAGTAGGGAAACTCATGCTCCTCCAATTCGCAAATTATTTATTAAACCACGAAACAGTCAAATATTTTATTGAGCTAATTCAAAGGGGGGGGGGGTTTGGTTCTTTGTTTTGCTTTTTAACAAGTGTAACTAGCCTACTCTGAACCATTTGATTTTAGAGACAAAATGATTTTCCTGCATTTGTAGAGTAAATGCTGGGAATACACTTTCTATATAAATTTCTTTGTGCGCTGATAATTCTTAATGTGAAGAATATTACTAAAGCCTCATTATGCTTTCAGATGGTTGCTAGACTTCTGAATGATTCTGAATTGAAACTACATAAATAGTCTTCAATACTAAGGAAAGTAAACAAGTCAAGTTTCTGAAGCAAGTCCAGCAAACACATTTTACTTTCGCACAACTGTCTAAAGTAAAGCAAAAGGGTAAAACCAAGGTCACTGGCCCTCCGGGTATTGTCAGCAGTTGGTAGTGTCCTTCCAGAAGTGTCACATCTTAGGTCACTTTTAGAAATGCTTCACGGGGAGAGAGAACAAGGTCACACTGCCTCATTCTTCTAAGCCATACAGGGAAGTATTTTAAGACTGGAAAGAGGGCTTTGAGACTTCTTAGATGATGACAACAAAGTTATTATGTGCTTTCAGTTTGATAATATCTTACAAATCCCAGATTATAAAGAATTATGTGCATTCTTTTCAGAAACTATTTTAAAGACTTATTTCAGGGTTTCTTTCCTACAAATTGATAGCTGATGCTCTCTTCTTGCCACATGGAACTCAGGACCAGGAATGGGAGTAGCGATACCAAAAGGGTAGGGGGATACCAAAAGGGTAGGGAGAGGTGGGGAGGGAGGGGGGTACCGATCACAATGAATGGCACATAACCACACACCCCAGAGGTGATGGGAGACAGCGGTTGGTGTGAGATTTGAAAGTAATTGACAATATATAATCAATCAAGGGGCCATGAGGGTTGGGGGGGGGGGGGGGGGGGGATCTGATCCCAAGGGCTCAATGGAAAGAAAATGTCTGGAAAAGAACGATGGAACATATGTACGGATATGTCAGATACAATTGATGTATGGACTGTAACAAGAGTTGTAAGAGCCCCCAAGAAAACGATCTAAAAAAAAGTAGAGTTGAAACATTTCGAAAATATACGAACTAAAGTGTCCTGGATTAATAATAATAATAGTCTTGCTTATGTTTCTAAGGCATATTGAAATTCAAGAGCAGTACTGTACACCACAACAGAAAGCCCACAACTCGAGCAGTTCACCTTCTGTCACAGAGATACACACTGCAAGTCCAATTTACTTCCCTTTACAGGAAGTAAGGTACATGGTAGAAAGAATCTGGAATATAAATATTCATATATGAGTCCCAGTTCTTCCTTTATGTAATCTGGACAAAGTTATTTAAGCTCAGTTTGATCGTCTTCAAAATGCAATAAGAACACTCAATAATATGCCACAATGGACATACACTGAAGACCACCTGGAAAATATATTCAGGAACTTTGGACTTGCCTTAGGCTTTGGGGTTACAGAAAAATCTGACCAGCAAGTAACTGTAAAAGACTTTCACAGTGTTCTGAAGGTTAAGTTTAATTGCTTATTTTTGTTAAGAAGCCAAACCTAATTTATTATGGTTTACTAGTAACAATACTGAGTATTGTCTAAAAAAATTAACTGAACTTACCTTAAAACCACTGTGAAAGCCTCCAAAATTTCTTATGCATTCATCAGTAGATAAGTAACTTGTTTGTAAAATTAGGCCAACATTCTGGACTTTTCTTCTGTGAATTAATAACAGTGGCAGCTTAAATGTGACATACTTCAACCATTGAGAAAAAGGTATAAAACAAATAAAATATGCCTAAGAGCAAGTTGCAGGCAGTGTCATATTCTACTTAGGAAAGTTGGGAAGTCATCTATGATTTCTCCCTTCTCTATTTTAAGACTTTTTCATGAACTGGTGACCAGGAGTTCAGAATTTGAGTCAGGCTGCTTGTCTACCCCTCAACCCAAGCTCTTATTGTTGTGGTCATGCCAACCCATCATGACCCTTAAAGGACAGCGTGCTCCTTCTCTCCACAGCAGTTTGTGGTTCCAACTGCTGACCTTTTGGCTGGCAGGCAGGAGAAATCAGTGCGCCACCAGGGCTCCTAAATCTGGTCTGACCACTGACCATTGCATCACCTTGGGTAAGAAACTTCACTCCCTTCTGTCGGCTCATGTCTAACAAGACTGAATTTTAGCTCTACCTCACATTTTCCTCATAAATTATTCCTCACAAGCAATGTGAGAATGTAAGTTAACACACTAATGTGATGGTGTCTCCTCTGCTCAAAATTCTTCCACGACACTACGAAGCTCTGGGTACCTCTGATCAATAAGGTTGCACAATTTCCCATCTTTCCCTGATTTCATCTCCTCAACAATACTGAATTACTGTATAGTTCCGTTAGCAGGAGACTGAAGGATGTCTCCATATCCGCATTCACCGCCATGGTTCATAGAGGTCATTTTCTCAGCAGAGAAATGCAGTGTCCTTTAGGCCTCCACCCCACCTATCCTCTTTCATTCTCTTGGTAAACACCCTCTGCAATAATATTGCCTGACTCCCCAAGCAGATTTAGGGCCTTTTTCGATTATGCTCCTCCCTTGTACTCTGAAAAAACAGTTTGTCTTATAGTTGAATCACTGGTCTGTCTCTCTCCCTCTCCACCGGACAATGAGCTCCCTCCCGGAGATCTGGAGCTATGTTATTTCCATCACCGCATTCCAGCACTTGTTCGGTGGTTGGCACATGGTAGGTGCTCAATGTACAGTGAATGACTGCATACAAATCAACTAGCGAAGGATTATTTCTACTTTATTAAATATGAATTTTACTTTTACTAGGTACATGTAGCCAATTCAAAAACTAAAACATGTCTTTTGTGAACAGGCTTCACAGTGAAAACAAAAGCAGGCATAGTCTATTAAAGGCTAATAGTAAGCAACAAGCCCTCAAAATACACGACCCATTAAAAACCTTGAGGGGACAGGCAGTTATTACCTTGAGAAAGTCCATGAGGGCATCACCCTCCGGGCGGCTTAAATTCTGATTTTGATTAGGGTCTCGATCTCACTGTGACTAAGTTCATGCTGACTCACAGTGAGCCTGGAGGACAGGGTAGAACTGCCCCCTTTGAGTTTCAGAGACAGTAACTGTACAGAGGAGTAGAGAGCCCTTTCTCCAGAGGAGCATCTGGTGGTTGTGAACTGCTGACAACTGTGGATCACAGCTCAACTAGTAACCACTAAGCTAACAGGGCTTCTCTTGATCAGGATAATAGTTAAAAATACATGAACATATATGCTGAACAGACATGCTAACAACACACACACACACACACACACACACACACACACACACACAAGACCAACCAAACCCACTGGGATCAACTCAGTTCCAATCCAAAGTGGCCCTACAGGAGAGGGTAGAACAGTCCCACACAAGGCTTCTAAGGCTCCACGTCTTAAGGAAGCAGATCACCACATCTTTTTTTCAAGAAGCAGCCGAGGATTTGAACAGCTGGCCTTTTGGTTCGCAGTCTGGAACTGTAACCACCATGCCATCAGGGCTCCTTGAATATAATTGCCAGTTTGATTTAAAAGAAAGAAAGAAAAAAAAAGCTCCATAAAATGCGCACACTCACTAGTCTAGGGTACAATTCTGGAGCAAGACTGCCTAGGCCAAATCACACTCCATCATTTAATGTGCCTCAAATTGCTCTTCTTCAGAATTAGAATATTAAGAAAACCTCACACAACCAAACGTAGCACTGTATTTTAAAATCAGTAGGTAGTAAACTTTTGCAAATGATATAAAAAATTCTGGTCTCTTTTCCGAAATGATTCACAAACACAGCATTTATTAAAAAGCAGAAAAAATAAACCATTATACTGAGAAGTTAGTCAAGCATAAAAGACAAATGCTGTATGAGTCCACTACTATAAGGATAAACGCCAAGATGCAGGCAGGCTTCTGCTCCCTGGTCATGTAATCTTCTAATCCAGTCTCCCAAGCACGGAAATACAGAGCCTGCCTAGCATCCAGGAGCCACTTATCACCCCTTCTATATGTTCATCTTTAAAACCACTTCAACAAAAGATATCTCACTTCAGGTGGGGTCAGTTTTTCATCAAGATTCAGAGAGAGGGAGAAGACTATTTAGTTGCCACCATACAAAATTGTGCTAAGGCCAACCAAATAAGCAGATATCTACAAGAGTGATAAATGAACCTTACTGGAAATTCAAGTCAAGATTGGGGTTTGGGGAAGAAGTATGTCTTAGAGAAGACAATTGTACTTCAGCTGGTGAGTAAACAAGGAGGAGCAACCTCCCACTGGGGAAAAATGCTTAACAATACTTACATAGACCCTAAGGGGAGAGTATGCCAGGTATTACGTTGTTCCTATGTTTGACCTAGTTTCTATTCAGCTCTTGGTGACCCAGGCTGCCTCCTTTCGACTGCTGGACTTTACTCTGTACTTTCAAGGTCCAGAACATCCTTCACAGCCACACCAGGATTCCATGATGGAACCCACTAATGAACTGCGCTTTCCCTCAAACTCACCTGTAACCCTTGGATTTAAGGCTACAACATGTGAGCAACATATGACTGATATATCAAGGCTATAGAACTGGTGGTTGTTGGTACTCTTGTCGTGAGGGTGCCAATGAATGGTGGCCCTGGAACACAATATACTCAGTATTTTAATACTTCCTTGCTTTATTATGTATTAATCAGGTAGGCATGGTTCTGCCTTTGTAAATGAATGTTATTTAAAATTTTGTTCTATCAGCAAACCCCACTGTTTGTATAAAAAGTGTCCGGTCACTTCAGAGTTTAATCTGTACAAGTCAACAATTCACACATTGTGGGTTTGTTGTCAGCCTCTACTTGTATAATTTTCTATTCTCATCAGTGTTTTAAATTTGATCTTAGCAAGGCTGGGGCTGTGGTAACTGCTCTCTGAACTTTGTGATGTCTCCAAGGGTGACAAAGAAAAAGAAAGACGAATGAAAGTCAGCCAGGAAAGACAAAGACCCAGTGAATCAATTCTGGGGTCAAAAAGATGTAGTTGAAAGGCAAAATTCTGGACAAGCTCAATAATTTGGCCTTGTTTGACAAAGCCACTGTTGACAAGGTCTATAAGGAAGTTCCCAACCTTAAGTTTATCACCCCAGCTGTTGTTTGAGAGACCGAAAATTCTGGTTCCCTGACCAGGGCAGTTCTCCAAAAGCTGTCTAGTAAAGGACTTATCAAGCTGTTTCAAAACACAGAGCTCAAGTAATTCACACCAGGAACACCACGGGCAGAAACACCCCAACTGCCAGTGAAGATACCTAAACAGGTCCAATCAACTGCGCAGTTTGAATTATAAGATTTTACTAAATAAAAACCAAAACAACAACAAAAGCATTTAAATTCTATACCATTGTCTAACTTAATGACACTATCAATATAGTATGATTGATAATGTTCTCTAACATAAAATGATAATTATGTCTCTAAAGTTAACTAGAGACTTATATAAACCAGAGATAGGTGAATGAATTTTAGGCTGGCACTGAATTTTAGTCCCAATCTAAGAACAATCAGTTCTTATGACATGGCCCAATTTGATGCTCACCTGCGTGAAGAGATCACTGAAGTGCTATAGCAAAGTGTGGTGAAGAAACCAGATGGTGCTTGGCTATCAGAAAGAATAGTGTCTGGTCTTAAAGGCTTGTTTTCAAACAAGCAGCCATCTAAGTGAGGTATCAACTCAGTCCACACGGGTGAAACACACCAGCCTGTGTGGTTCAAGGATTTCAAATTATAAAATCCAAATGTGAAGGAAGGCATGGTATCAGAGCTTAAATGATGAACACCCAGTTTGCAGACTATGGATGATAGTGAAAACCCAAAATCCATTTGCTGAGTCCACACATGGATTAAGCCTCTGGTGAATCCCCTCTGACGATAGTCTAGGGATGGGAATAGCCTTACTATCAGAAAAAGAGTACTGCAAAGTCAATTATGGCAGATGTAGTAGGTTAAAATGCAGTATCTTGAAAAAATATATATATATATAATCTTATAATTTGATCTCCTTTTGGACCTATAAGTGGAAATAAACATGGTTAAAGCTTCCAGTGAATCCCCTCTGACTTTGGACCAGGAATGTGAATAGCCTTGCCATCTATGCAGAGTGCACTGGAAAAGTGTATTATTGCAGATGCAGTTAGGTGAAAATTTAACTCCTTTCGTTTGATCTCTCTTTTAACCCATTTAAAATTCGCTCTTTTTATTGTTGTTTTGGGGGAAGAGTCTATTTTTCTTTTTTTTTTCCTAAGTCTACTTTTCTATATATGAAACTCAGAAGTAAATCTATAAAGACAGTAACTGGATTAATGGTTTCTTAGGGGTATGACAGGGATGATTGGGGGGAAATAGGGAGCTAATAATCATGAATACAAGAAAGAAGAAAATGTTAAAAAAACTGTGCTGATGATTGTATACTCTTCTAATATGACTAAACTGTGGAATTGTATGGTATGTGAATTAAATGCCAATAAAACTTAAAAAAGAAAGACCGAGAGAGCTGACTTTGCAAGAACATCTATAAACTGGATGCAAACCACATCCACATGAAAATTGACTGGCTTTTCAGCTGGCTGGCCACTTATATTACACCATAAAATTGAGGATAATTATATTACACTACTGCAAAACAAGCAGACCAATGTCAGCTAAACCACTGAGAATTGTACCCTAGCCAATTTGACCAATAATCTTAACCATCACAAATCCCAACCAACCCAAATGTGAACTCAAGCTCTGTCCTGGTCCATGCCCTTTTTCCACTACCTGTGAATGAAGGGTACTACTATCTATATAGGTAGGTGTGCTACCAATTCAGCTGTTAAACTTGGCATGCCGCTGTTCTTCATCTGCCCACATTCAATGCACTAGCCAGAACTGCTCCTAAGTGTCTCTGCAATCTATTTCTTTCCTTTCCATTGCCACTACCTTTATAAAAACAACCGTTATCTCTCAGGGAGCTTTAATGCAATAAACAGTTTAGTATTTCTTAGTCATTCTTTTCAAAATAAAAATTCAGAGTGTGACTTCCTTTTCCTCCTCACATTAAAATGCCTCAAAAGGCCATGTAATAAAAGGCCTTTACAAGGCCTATAAGGACTTGTTGCATGATCTCTGATCTTATTTTACCACCCAATTTTATGACTCAACTCTCCCCTTGTTCACAAGTCTACCCACAATACACTTCTTTCAATTCTTGCCATATTCTTTCGTTCAGTGGGCCTTTTTCTGCATAAGCTGTTCCCCTTGCAGGGAACTCATATCCCTCTTTTCTTCACCTATTTAACCTTTTCTTTCTAGAGTAACAGTCCCCCACTTCCTCAAACAAGGCTTCTTGGATGGTCTCACACCATGACCTATCCTCCCCTTGCCGGGGGAGGTCAGACGCTTGCAGGCATCCTCCCCGAGGGCATGTAGGCTTTGGCTGTGAGGTTTTCTTTAGAATCAGAGGCCTTAGATAACATATCAATCCCTGCTTCTTCAGTTTCTCCTAAAGTTTCATCACCTACTTCATACTCATTCAAAGAGACTTCAGCTTGCTTTTCTAGATTTGAATAGACACAAGACTTCTCATTAGACTGATAATCCTCATTCTCTTCCTTCTGCAAAGGTACAAAGACCATCTTAAATCCTAAACTAATCTAACGGTCTGCTCTTATGTTGCAAATTATCATTAGAAAAAGCATCAATTTTCTAGACCAACATCAATTGAACCCTTCCAGGAAGGACTGCCACCTTCTGTGGGTAGCAATAGCACAGTACCATACCTCTACTTCATAGGCCTTCCCATAATTCCAATTTAACATTTATCTTTGTTGCCGTTGTTTGGTGTCTTTCCAGCGCCCTATCCTTTGTTCACTATAAGCTCTCTGAAGGCTGTTTTGTTTTGTTTTCCTCCCGCACCAACATATCCTTAGTGCTTAGCCCCAACCCCTGCTAGTCAGGTCTCATGACTTGATTCTCAAATAGAATCTAACAATTCTTTAAAAGAAAGTGCTTTACCTTGCAAATCTTCCATCAATTCAAACATTCCAGGATAGTTAACTTGAATTTCATCAGTATCCTATTAAAAAATAAAAATTCACTGAATATTCAAGATAAAAGAAATTCATACTTGAAATAGGGGTTCATGGAGATTGTCCAAACTAATCTCTCAGTATAAGCAGGGATCTTCTATGCAATATTCTTTACAGAGCACATCTAAAATATGTGTGATTTATAAAGATCGCTAATTTCCAAATAAATACTCCTTATGCTAACAGAAACCTTCCTACAACCCCACCAACTGGCTCTAGTTTTCTCCTCAGAAACAATATAGAGAAAGTCTATATTCTAGAACCAATGACCTTCTTCCTCAAGTCTTTGAACACTCTCCCAGAATACTGTACTTTTTTTTGGGAGGGAGCTAATTTTCCAGGCCTAGATTTATAGTTCCTAACATACTCTACTGTTCTCTGACACAAAGTATAAAACCCTAAAGAATGCTTATAAAATACATTCTCTTTAATAATTAAACCAAAAAACCCAAACCCATTACCATCAAGTTAATTCCAACTCAAAGTGACCCTATATAGCAGGGGTGCAAACTGGTGGCCTGTGGGCCGCATGCGGCCCCCGAAGTAATTTTTTGTGGCCTGCGATGCTCTGAAATAAAATGAAAATAGAAGAAATTGTTATGAAGAAAACAGCGCTTAGGGGAGATAGAGGCAATACCGTACACACGATTCCCTCGTTAACTCTTTAACTACTGAAGACGAGTATACACGTGGCCCAGAGCCTTTCCTGGGGACCCATGGATGTGTATAAACGCGCTGACTCAGTTTGGCGACGTGTCTGCCACTCTCAGTGTCACATAATGTAAACAGATCCCAAAAGCGAGAAGGTTAAAGAGAGCAATCTGGGTTGTTCTCTTATGAACCATACCTAGCGGCAGCGCTAGTTAACATTTTTAGAGGGAAGCCATTACAATTGTGGATCATGTTTGTCAGCTGTCCAACATCTTGTGTTTTTTATTAGTTACTTTGTTATATTTTCTAGTCACAACATAAGATGTAAGTGAAAACTAATAGGAGGTAAGCACTGGCAAGTTTTGGGAAAAGAAGAATAACTTTAGTTTTATAAATAAGCAATTATATAGTGTTTTAATTATCCTATCCATATTCCTGAATCCTCACTTCAAAATATAAATTTAACAAAATTTGTAAATGTGATGTGGCCCACGTAATCTTGCCTGTTGCACCAAATAGTCCACGTTTTAATTGAGTTTGACACTCCTGCTATACAGTACTCCAAAGACTAAATTTATACTTGATCAGGCAGCCTCATCTTTCTCTCTTTGAACAGCTGGTGGGTTTGAACTGCTGACCTTGTGGTTAATAACCACAATGCCTAACTTAGAACACACCAGGGAGCCTTCATAATTAAAAGGATACAAATAAAAATGCAATGCCCATCTGTGTTGTGAACCTCAGACACGCAAAACAAGGTAACAAAAGACTATTTTTTACTAATTAGGTTGGCAGAATAAAAGCCTGTAAATAGGAACTCATCTAAGTTATTAAGGAGCTTGCAACTTGATGCTACCTTTTACAGTAATTAGATCCTATCAATAAAACGCTGAAATGCACAGAATCTTGGACCTAGAAAATACCTGATTAAGTGAAAGGAAATACAATGCCGTACTGTTTGAAAATATAAAACAAAACTAAACCACCAAAAACTATCTATACCTCCATTGATATAAAACCCCAAATCCAACCTCACGCCAGTGAGTTGATGCTGACTCACACTGACCCTACAGGGCAGGGCTGAAGTGCCCCTGTAGGAAAACCTCGTTTTTCTTTCCTGGAGCAGCAGGCAGTCAATCCGTATAAGCTGGTTAAATTAATTAAAGCATATCTACTGAATAAAATAAGCAACTCTAAAGCCCTGTTAGGTAAGCAGTGAACTGCAAGGTCAGTGTTTGGGCTGATAACTGCTAACCAACCACAAGGTCATCAGTTTGAAAACACTAGCGACTCTGCAAGAGAAAGATGAGGCTTTCTACTCCCCTTATGAGTTCCAGTCCTGGAAATCCACGAGGGCAGTTCTACCCTGCCCTATAGGGTTGCTATGAGTCAGAATTAAGGCAGTGAGTCAGCCTCTGGTTGGGATAAAAACTAAACTGTTTGCTCCTGTAAAGATTTACCAGGCCAGAATCTCTGTATCGGGTCATTGTGAATCTGATTTGACCAGAAGGCCCATAAAAACCTCTAAACCCAAACTCACCACCATGAAGTCAATGGCAACTCATAGTGCTGACCTAATAGGACAGGATGGAACTACCCCTGTGTATAGTTTCCGAGACTAGAACTGTTTACGTGGGTAGAAAAAAAACCACCTTTCTCCAGTGGAGCAGCTGATGGTTTTGAACTGCCGATCTTAGGGATTGGAGTCCAACACACAACCACTATACCACTAGGGCTCCTCTGAACAGAAGGCAGTGGATATTAAGTGAAATACTACGTACTTCTTAAAAACAAATAATATAGAGGGATATTTCTAAGATATGTTATCGACTGAGGTTTGGTGGGGTTGGGGAACACAGTAACTATAGAGAAAGAGCAAAATTTTGTACAGTACTGCATATGTGGGAGATTTGAAGGACATGATTATATTTGGCTTTATGAAGGGAAAAATGTTCTGGAAGGATAAAAGACAGATTTTTTTCACTTTTGACTTTTGTCTATTTCTCTTATTCTTCCCTACATACATTTTTACCTTTTCCTTTTTTTCTTTAAAACATGTATAGATCAGGCTGTGTGTATGTTTTTTAATAAGACCCTCTGGATAGTGGGATCCTAACTATTTCATCTACATACTTTTCTGCATTAAGAAACTATTTTTGAAGAGAGATGCTAAGATTAAAAGCAAATTCCTTCCAGGCTGTTATGTAACTATTTAGAACTATCTATTGAGAATGTCTCTAACCAAACCAATTAAAAGTACGACCTCTAGTCAATCACAAAAGTATCACAATAGCTCTATCAAAGACTTATTCAAATTAAAAGGAACCGCTCCTAAACTGTAAAGATTTTATAATATTTTTATATTAATGCTTAATATTTTTGGAGAATATGCATGAGTTTGAATTATTGGATTTCCTAATTAACAAAAATATGGGCTTTAAAAATGTTATGTCAGGCCAAACATATTTAGTGGAAATCTTTCTAAAATGTATACCTCACTTTACAACTTTAAAAATGTATCTATGAAGAACACAATTTTATTTTGAGGATAAAGCGGTTATTTTGATGGGGAGTCCCAGTGGTTCAGGGGTTGCATGTCTAGCTGCTGACCACATGTCATCAATTCAAGCCCACCCACAGCTCCTGAGGCAGAAAGATGAAGCTGTCTGCTCCCATAAATGTTATAGTTTTGAAAAATCTTTCTAGGGTGGCCATGAGTCATCAGTTCAGGGGCAGTGGGTTTAGTTTGGCTTAATGACTCACAGCAGAAAGCCTTGTTTTTTTCACGAGTCAGAGGTTTTGCGTTCCCAAATACAGTTGACTAAACTATAGATGGCCTGGTACAAATTATGTGTCATCATGTCATGACAATTTTCACTACATGCCTCCATGTCACCCCATCGCCTACACTCTTCTCCCTTCAAAAATATGGGCAGATGTCCTGCTAATAGCGGAATCTCCCTCTAAGAACCCAAGGGGTCTGTGGGTTACATACATAGTAACCAAATCTCTTAACCAGTTGACTGGTAAACAATGGCATTTAGTGCAAAGATAGTGACAGACTACTTGGGTTTGAATGCGTATTGCTTTCCACAATCCAGGCAAGAATCTAATCTCTCACATGCAAGTCTGAAAGTCACTATGCCTCCTCCAAGTCTCTCCTTCAAGGCCTTGGACCCATACATTTCCCTGTTTCTATGACTGTTCTGGTACGACCACCTTTTACAAATTTGGGTCTGTTCAGATTTTGATATGTCAGTCATGACCAAATCAGTTTGAATACATGTTTATCAACAAATCACGATAAAAGAATGGAGTGTAATCTTTTTAAAGTTATTAAATAAAAAACAAGGGATTACGGATATAAGGATTAAAGCTGTAAACCAGTGGCTCCTAATTTAGTTATAGTCTTCTCTGAAGATTTGATGAAAACTGTAAGCCCTTTCCTCCACATAGAACAAAAAACAAATGTTTGGACATGGTAAGATCCTTTCATTAGAAAAAGTGGGAGTGCTGAAGCCTTCCCAAAATATCATCAATAATGAAACCTTCTGTCTTTAAGATTAAAATATCTTGTTTTAAGCTTTCATTAATGAGTTCCTGGCTTCTCCTGATAGTTACCACAGTCAGTGTAGTAAAGCCAGCTCTCCCAAGAAGATGTCCAAGATCACGGACAGCAGTGAAAGGAGAAACGTGTGGAGCAAATCCTCCTTCCCTTTCTGTTTCTGCCAACTGTAAGGAACACCGGAGTTCATAGAGTGTGTCACCTCCAAACACTGCTCCAATAAACACTCCATCTGGTTTCAAAACATAATGAATCTGTAATAAAGACAAAAAAACTATTCACAATTTTAAATATAAGGATGTTCAAAGAATAAAGACATAATGTCTAAATCAATAGTTATGATTATCATTATTTTGGGAGGCTGCCAAGTTAATAATCTGATAATGTCATAAACAACATCTAAAGCAACCAACTGTCACACAGCCATTTCTGTAGAATATAGGTACAAAGAGAGAGAATACATTTATTAATAAAAACCCAAAACAAAAAAGCACAATCACTCCTGCGTTTGTGCCTTTTGAATGTCCTTTTGTAACAACTCTCATCAAAGATGGAATCTATTTCTCCTCTCCTCGGATATGGTAACTTCAAAAGGTTCACTGAAAAAGTCCACTATCTTTAAATTCCATTTTTCCATGTTTTTTTTTGAAGGCCCCTTATATATTATATATAACCCATCCACTGCCACTGAGTTGATTCCATCCCATAATGAACTGTCTTGGAGGTCTAAGACTTTATATCTTTACAGGAATAAGTAGTCTCAAGTTTCTCTTGATCACATAAAAATAAATTTTAATTAATAACTGAAGAAAATACTAGCAAGAGCAAATTACAGAAACTTAAGTGCCTGCTTAAGAACTTAGTTCACAATTTATAACTAGTTTTGACTCTATTTTGAACTAATAAGAATATTATAGGAAAAGGATAGATTTTAAAAGAAAAGCAAAAAACTAACCACAACAGCCCTTCTAATCAAAGCAACATCTTATATACATATCTAATATATTGGGAGAGGGAGATGAGGCTTTCTAATCCTATAAAGAGCTACAGTCTCAGAAACCCACAGAGGCAGATCTACCCTGTTCTACTGGATCACTATGAGTCACCATCAACTTAATGGCAATGAGTTTGGTTTGGATTAGAATAGACTGAGAAGCAATCACAAACCAGTATATAAGTAAAGAAATTGTAAAATCATTGGCCTCTTCTCCAGCTCTTATATTCTTCTTTTGTCACTAAATTTCTTCATTTTAGCACCCAAGTCTTCGTTCCTTGCTCTGAACCACAATGCTCTTTATCAATCCCTCATCTATTAACTGACAAACGTCAATCAACAAACATTACCAAGTATACTCCATGAATCAATGAGGGAAAAATAAATGAGTAAATCCCTGTTTACAAAATGTTTACCGGCAGTTAAGAGAGAAAAGAAATCCCCGACAAAACGTCTTGTGATTTGTGTTATTAAGGTCTCATAAAATTATAATGCTTATGCTTACAATTAGATTTCTTAAATTCCTGAGTGAGGAGTGTCACTCAATATACTCATCAATATATTAGTGGGTACCTGGTATATCCTACCCAGAGAATATAATAATTATTTGATTGGATTCCATCCTCAATTGCTAGATCTATAATTTGTAAAAACTGAAGTTATGCAAGTTACTAATGATAAATATTACAATATAGAATATTAGCATCAATAAAAGTTTTCTCACCTGTTCAAGTGCTCTAGGAAGGTCATTCACCCAGTGCAAACTAAAATATAAAAAACATATCATTAGACGTCAGACAGAAAAGACATGACAAAATAATAATTTATAAATTACCAAGGGTTCATGAGGGAGGGGGGGAGCGGAGAGTGAGGGGTCAAAAATGAGGAGCCGATGCCAGGGGCTTAGGTGGAGAGCAAATGTTTTTAGAATGATGAGCGTAATGAATATACAATTGATGTATGTATGGATTGTGATAAGAATTGTACGGGCCCCCAATAAAATACTTACAAAAATTAAAGTAGAAGGAAATACTAGCTTTCCCTTACTTGACAAGATGAATTTTATGGTAAAAGTATTTTGATATTTGCATATTGGTGCCAATAAAGTCTCTCAAAAGGACTCCTATCCCCACATTATTAGGTTAAGGACATTGAGTTAAAACAAAGAGGAAAATCTTTTTGCCACAGGTAAGTTTCAGCAGACTGAGCAGTGCGGGGTGGAGGTGGGGGGGTTGAAGCTTCACTGTACTAGCTCCAATAAAGAGGATATACAACACTTAATTTATTACTAAAGAAAATTTATAATGTGGCAACCAAGTTAACTAATTTGTAATTTGAAAAGCAGTTACTAAAATTTTACTGTACAGTCTATATTCTTTATCTTGTAACAAAACTTTCTGTGCAACCTGCCTACTTATAGCAAACGTTTTTATACGTTCAAACGGATTACCAACCTTAAGCTGCTAACCACCAAGTCAAATGTATTTTCTTGGAAGGGAAGAAATTCTTCATCAGCTAAGACACTGTAAGTAGGTATTTCCATTTCTAAGGTGTTTTTCTAAAGATAAAAAATAAAGTTTAAAAGGTAGTTTTATAGAATCTCAATTATTCACATAATTGCTGTTAAGTTTAAGCAATGTTATATTTATGTGGCAGATTATTCTTAAAAAAATAAACGAACAAACTTGGGAGGAGAACTGGCTAGTTAGTTGGAAAAACACAAACAGCATGCCCACATCATACCAGAACAAATCCTAGAGGTCTCAACACCTTCAAGTGAAATCATTAAAACTATAAAGGTCTTATGATGAATTATGAAACATTAATCAGAATCATTAAAACCATAAAAATATCAGATGAAAACGGGTAAATATTTCATATTTTTAGGCAAAAAAGCCTAAGTAAGTATAACTCAAAGGCAGAAACTTTATAAAGAAAACAGATTCATATAAATTAATTTGAAACATCTAAAATGCAACAAACTATGCAAACAACAAACCTGGCAAAGTATTTATAAGATATACAATAAAGAATATCACTAAAGAACAAGTTCTTTTAAATCACTTAAAATTAAAACATGCAGGGTTAAAATAAAAGCCAAGGTACAGGCAATTCGAAAAAATTATTTATAAAATTTTCAAATTAAAAAATTCCAGCCAAAAGATAACACTAGGTACCTGGCTATATAATTAATCCACCAACCACCACCACCACCATGTAACTAGAAATAACAATGAAATTCCACTTTGTGCCCTTGATGAAGACAAAAACAGGATAGCCATTGTTTTTAAAAAGAAGAAACAAGTACTTTCACAGTGTTCAGTCCCGAAACAGAAATTAAAAATGAACACCACTGAATTCTTAAGCTCCACTAACAATAATTTATTTCCAAGGAGAGCTTTACACAAAAACAGTCATCGTGTTAATTGATAAAAAAACTAGAAATAAAAATTCCCTTTAATAGAAATGTTTAAAATTATCCATGGAATACTAATCTACTGAAATACATATAGTAATTTCAAAAATAGTGTATATTTCATTAACAAAAAAAAACAACAGTGTAAAAACATAGCATATTAGGATAATCTTTTGTATACCATTGTGCACTGGGATGACAAGTTACATCCACAGAAGAGATCACAGCACCACTAGTGGTTGTTGAGTGGTAGGACAAGGGTGATCTCCCCCAACCATCTGCCTCCCCTTGTATTTCTTGTGTGGTTTAATTCATGTGTGTTATGTTTACAGTTTTAAAAAATCAATAAAGCAATTTTTATTTTGAAGAAAATAAAAGCACAGGAATACAGAACTGAAAATAAGACCAGGAGATCAAAATCAACACTGGTAAAAGCCACCTACCAAAGCATTTTCTGCAATGTCTGTTTGGATAAACTTCCCAACAGTTTCCTGAAACGGAAAAATTAAATCTGATCAGATGATAAAAGAGACAAAACAACAGCAGCAGCAAAAGCATGTTAACAAATAAAACAAAACAACTGTTGTTATTGCTAAGGAGAAAGTAATAACTAGGCATGCCAGTTTTATAAAAATATTACTTTGCATATCAACGTGGTATAAAGAAACCTTTAGCACATCGGAAGTTACACAGGAACAACGGGGCAAGAAAGGGTTCAAAGAGTTTACAGACAGCAAGAAAAGGTTTGTCAAGTGGAGACACTTGAGGGAGAAGGGGACTTAGCAGTTTCATCTTCCCTCTGCTTCACTTTTTTCCTTCCTTGCAACAGGGGAAAGCTATTCCTACCATTGCTTTTCTAGATTAATGCATTCCATGCACCTTTCTCCAGGTTTCGGCTCCTTCAATTATCATCTCTACCATTTCCAATCTCTTTTCCAACTCTGAATTTCATTTTCCAGCAGGCATAGGCCTCCCATTCCTAAAAAACCTCACCTCTAATCATCCAGCTTTTCTGTTCATGATCGCTAATTCCACATTTCACTGATGTCTCTCTCCACAATCCTAGCTAATCAAATCTATTTGTACTTCACTGCCCAGATCACTAATAGCCTAGCACCAATGGCAATCATCTGTTCTTACTGCTCAGTCTTACTCCACTTCATCTTTTCAAAGCATAACTAATAATGGCCTCCTAGAAACTTCTTTAGTTACCCTGGTCCTCCCTCCAATATTAGTGAAGCCAATTCTTTCTTTCCACCTCACCCCTAACTTCTTATAATATGTCCCGACTACAACCAGGAACAACTTTACCGTGACCTGGCCACTGCTGATCACAGTTGATGGCAACTGGTAGGTAAGGAAATGTTTAAACAGCAGACTCTTAAAAATAAACCAAATCCCTGAGCCATCGTGTTTGCTGATTTCCTTTCCCACAACAGCAGATTTCATGCGACCAACAGGACACTGTTTAACACAGAGTTAGGAAGAGACATGAGCATAGGGTTTTTATGAGCCAGCTACTGCATGCTAACTGTGAGGGATGAAGAATTAGATTATTCAGACTGTCTATCCCAATTTCTCAACTCAAAATTTGAACTACGAGACGCAAGAGACAGAGATGCCAGGAGTTGATGAAGCATGTATTATAGACTTCACACTATAAGCTATAGAGGGCTATAGTATATGTTTCACAACTGATTTTTGGTGGAAGACTATAGCTGATTTTAAACTTTCACTTTAATGCACAATGCTGTTGAACATGTAGATGGGAAGAGATGTGAACAATCAGCCCTTATGAAATGTTATACGCTTATTCTAATATAGTACTGGGTATAGGTTACTCAATTTCTCAATTTGGGGCTGTATTAGTCTGGGTACTGTGAAGAAACATGCCAATTTTATCAAAGTGAAATTATATGCCATTGAATAATTTACCTTATTCAAATGTTGTCCTATGTAACCTCTTCCACAACCAACATCCAAAGCAATGGGGAAATCTCTAAAAAGGAAAGACTTAAGTTATGCTTTGTTGGCAGCAGTATTAATAATATGTTACACACTCACTTCCAGAGGAGCAGTCTTTCATGCTCGGAAAGATGAGTTGGGCTTTCATTCGCCCACTGGTTAAATATGAATAAAGAAAACAACATTTGCTCTCTCAGACATGAAAAACTAGGAGAGAATCACAGAGGGATTACCACCAATCCTTAATAAATCCCCCAGATTCTGCCCTTTCAGATATCAAGTTCTCCACATTTAATCTCTTGAGGCTTCAGTCAAAATAGATTGTATTTTATTAAGAAACCAGCACTCACCTAGCAATGTCATATATACGGTCTGCAATCTGACTTGCAACCTGAAAATATAACAAGAAGTAATGATGTATACAAGTTAAGGTTTAACAGAAAATTAACACTTTTTCCAGTAATTAAGAATCTGTAGGCTATTTACATTTCAACCAGTAAAGAAATGCTTCCTTTTATCCCCTTTTCTCTTTGACCATACCAAGTTTCTTTAATAATTCTGAATAGAAAGATCAACGATCAAGTCAATTCTGATGCATCGCACCCCTACAGGATAGGGTAGACGTGCCTCTGTGGGTCTGCAAGACTAACTCTTTACAGGAGTAGAAACCCTCATCTTTCTCCCAGCAGCGCAGCCGTCCTTTCAAACTGCTGGCCATGTGGATAGCAGTCAAACCCGAAAGCACTACTCCAAGTCAAAAGAGAAATCAGTTTGAATAACATATTTTATTTAACCCAATATATCAAAATTTGATGACTTCATCATGGAACCAATATGAAATATTATTGAGATGATGTACATTATTTTTGTTCTCAATGAAATCAAATATGTATTTTAAACCCATAGCACAGCTTGATTGGAATGTTTAGTAGGTAGATAACTGAGAGGCTGCCTAAGGGCAGACCTAGACAGCGGGGAGCCTGATAGGAGTGGGTCCCAAACCACTCCCAACATGACCGGGGCTCAGCTAAGGAAAGGGTTGGGAAAGGGGACCTGATACTGGGAAACAGAAGCTGATAGGCAAATAACCCAAAGACGCTGGGCTGGGCGAGTAACACCTAGAAATTGACTAACAATGAAGCTGAGCACTCACTCAAGGAGTTGGATGGGGGTAGGGCACTATGAAAAGAAGCCCATCAGATAGACAGGCTCTTGGCTCTCTCTCCCAAGATGCCAGCTTGAAGCTTGGTCAAATGTACTAAACCTTTCCCATGCTTTAATTCCACTTGTAACAAAATCTTCCTATGCTTTACTGCCTGCTCTATCTCTTAGCGGAATTCCCTCTCCCAAGAAAACGAAGAACCGAGGATTACAACCAGCCTAGGAAACACCACAATATCTTTTGGTGCTGGGACTTGGGCACTTCTCTTGCGGACTAGTAAGTAGTAATGGCCACCTCTAGGCCAGAGGAGTTGCACAAGCCTTTTACTTGCTACGCCCTTGCTAACATACGATTTGTGGCTCTACCTTAACTTTTTCTCTCACTCTTTGGGCCTTTTCACATGTGCCAATAGGGTGCTACTGCACTCCTCAGAACCCTTTCCAATCATGCCCAGCATGCTGAGGCCCAGGAGACTGGCTGGCTCCATACAGGTGTCTGCCCATCATGCATTTTTCGTGGTGCTAGGCCCATGCCACCTAGCCAGGGGTCTGCTGGGATCACAAGTGTCACTGGGGAGGGCGCCTGGAGGCCAGTTCAGAACAGCTAGGGCCCTGGGATAGGAGGGGCCCGCCACATAGATCATGGGAGCCCAGTACCCAGTTTCCCTAATGGTTGATCATTGTGTTAGGCAGGGTTCTCTAGAGAGATAAAATCAGATTGCTGATAATTTTATATATTTATTTATAATGATAATTAGATATATAACACAAGAAGTGAACTGTTAAATTATATACAGATAGATAGATATATAATACAAGAAATGAACAGTTAAATTATAAAGCAGTACAAATGGCTCAGTGCAACTCACTCCTGTGAGAGAGTTGTGAGACACTAGTAGTCCTTCAAGTCTAGTCTGCTGCTAGGTCTTCCTCTATACTATATAGAAAGCTAGGCTATCTCAGTACAGCAGCCAATCACAAAGCAGGTCACCAACTGTCAGCCAGGTCACCAACTGCCAGTCCCCAGCTCCAGAAATGCCTTAAAGGGACCTCAACTTACAGCGACACAGTTCACAGGCTAGGCGTCCCACAGGTAGTGTAGCCTGTAAATTGAGGCACAGAACAAGCAAGGCAAGCCGCACAAGACTGGTCCGATGATCAAAGAGCGAGAAACAAGAAAGGCGAGGCTCAGTGAGCCATTTATCTCTCCGTCCTTCAGTTAGTCCCACTTGTGTTTATTGGCCAGGCTGGCACAATAAACTATCTCAATCATCAATGCTGAGTGTACATGAGCCAGAGCTGGAGAGTATTACACTGTAGGTAGGAGGATCCTGGTTCCTTGACCACACCCATGGCCCTCAAATAAAAGGACTCTGTTCTGCTTGTGGGCCTGAGACTCTCTCATCCCGTAATGTAGAGGCAACCTTGACAGAGCCCTTGGCAGACTTCAGGGCAGGTGGCATGGAGGTGGCACACTTTTTCCTAGGCACCTGTCAACTTTAAGGGGTCAGCAGATTACAGTCTGAGCCTGACACAGGTAATCAGTAGCACAACAGTGCTATAGCCCCAACCAGCTCCTTACTGATGTCAGTGCCTGTGGGAGCTGGTGCTGGAACAAACTGAGGACCTCCCAGCTGTCATCACTAAATGGCTGGTACAGAGGGCATACCAACTGTGTGCTTTCCAAAATCCTTTTAACTTACCCCCTTTCGTTTTTAATTTTATTTTTTAAAAATGTCAATCATTTTATTGGGGGCTCATACAACTCTTATCACAATCCATACATACATCCATTGTGTCAAGCACATTTGTATTGTACATTTATTGTCCTCATCATTCTCAAAACATTTGCTTTCTACTTGAGCCCTTGGGATCATCAGCACATTTTTCCCTCCCTCCCTCCTCACTCATGAACCCCTGATAATTTATAAACCATTATTATTTGTCATGTCTTACACTGTCCTTTGTCTCCCTTCACTCACTTTTCTGTTGTCTGTCTCCCAGGGAGGGGGTTATATGTAGATCCTTGTGATTGGTTCCTCCTATCTACCCCTGCTTCCTTCCCCTTACCCTCCTGGTATCTCTACTCTCCAGGGAGGAGGTTATATGTAGATCCTTGTGATAGGTTCCTCCCTTCTACCCCTCCTTCACCTTACCCTCCTGATATCGCTACTCTCATTATTGGCTCTGAGGGGTTTATCTGCCCTGGATTCCCTGTGTTTCCAGTTCTTATCTGTACCAGTGTACATGCTCTGCTCTAGCCAGATTTGTAAGGTAGAATTGGGATCATGATAGTGGGGGGGAGGAAGCATTAAAGAACTAGAGGAAAGTTGTAGCTTTCATTGGTGCTATACTGCCCCCTGACTGGCTATCTCCATCGTTTTTAGTCTTTATATACAGTAGTACCTCATGCTCGACCATATCAGTACTCGACATAATCGGATTTCGAAGTAAAATGTCAAAAAATTTTGCATTGTTGTTTGAACAAAACATCGGAATATAACCTGATGCACGTGATTTTTGTAAACAAAAGCAGTTTGTGTTTCAGTCACTTGGTGTTAGTTGGCATTGTTAATACACGTTGTTTAAACCTTTTGCAGCTGTGTTACAAACGTTTGGCTATAATTTTCTTAGTTTTTGTGGCTTTTTGTACTGTTTTTAGATAAAAAACATGAATCCTAACAGAGTTTTTTGAAAAGAATCATTATAAGGAACTGGTTAACCATGTTAATGATAATGTTGATAATTTAGTCACCCTTTTAGAAAACACTTAAGGAAACGTCAACAGCAGACCACATTAGACAGATTTTTTTTAAAAAAGAAAACCAGCCAGGTCGTAGTGAAAAAAGGCAAAGAAGGGTAAAAAAAATTGAAAAGCAGCTACCAGTTGATTTTATGGAAGGGGATTCCCTTTCCAAACAATGGCTGGCTCTCCGTACCTCTCCATGTCCACATCTGTGTCCACAGATCCAGAGCCTCATCAATGTCAAGGTATGGCCAAGTAGTTGTTAAAAAACTTTTTATAAATGTTGTATTTATTTAAATTACATTATTTAACTCTGAGCTTATTTACTTTGCAATTTCTGTGTAAGGTTTTTATAAAAAGGCAAGGTTAGGGTAAAACTTGGAGGTTGAGAATGGATTAATCCATTTTCAGTTATTTATTCTGGGAAAAAATGATTCGGAACTCAACTGCATTGCATCTCCACACTCCTAGAATGGATTAGCATCGAGGTCTGGGGTTCTACTGTATTCCTCGGAGACTGTAAATTGATCTATGTATCCTACCCCCACACAGAAGAATAAGGGCTGCCAGTGGTTCGATTATAGAACAAATTATGGATAGAACAAACCAGATAGTTAGTGCCTGGCTATCAGAAAGAATAGTACCTTAAAAGCTTGTCTTAAAATAAGCAGCCGTCTAAGTGAGGCATCAACTAAGTTCAATGGAAGAAGCAAATTAACCTGTGTAATTCAAGCAGTATATATAATAAAATCCAAATATGAAGTGAACAGAATCAGCTTAAATTGTGAGCATCAATTTGCAGAGACTATGGATGACAGTAGAAGCCCAAAATCCATTTAAAAGGTCCCCATGTGGATTAAGCATCCAGTGAATCCCCTCTGACCAGAGTCCAGATATGTGAATAGCTTCGCTACAGACAGCACTCTAAAGTTGATATGGCAGATCTGGCTAGGAGAAATGGAGTACCTTATCACTTGATCTCCCTTCTGACCCATCTTAAAGTTGTTTCCATTTTTAATAGTCTCTGCTGCATTCAAGATTCAGGTTTTTCTCTGACTTGTTATAGCTGGTGGTTTTTGTTTGTTTCTTGTTTGTATTTTGTCTGAACTTCTGTATATAAAATCTAGTATAGGTAAAACCACAGACAGACATTAACTGGATTAATAATTATCTACGGGCATGGCATGGAGGTTGGAGGGAAATGGGTCACTAACAACAAGTAGAGAAGAAAATGTTCTGAAATTGACTGTGGTGATAATTGCACAACTCTTCTTAATATGATTGAGATGAAATCATGATATGTGAAGAATATGCCAATGAAGCAAAACAAAAAAGGCAGGTTTAAATCCTGTTGCAGCACACACAGGGAACTGTGAAGCTTGTAGGAAGCTTGACCACTGGAGGAGTGTCCCAACGAAGAAGGGTACCCCATTACTCCATGCCACATTTGCAAAAGGCTTGGCCACTAGAAGACAGACTGCCCCACGAGAGATTCTACCCTCAGGCCTTGGTGGTCTTGAGCTGAAGGGGTCCTAATCTTCACCAGGTCCTTGCCAAAACATCATCAATGAATAGACTGACACAGGAGTCAAGAGCTACCCTGTGGCAGATAGGACCATTAATTTCAGTGATTGTGAATGCTGCTTTCTGGAAAAAGCACAGGCACTTACCTGCTAGAGATACCCCTATTAAGTGTGAGCTAGAAATTCAAAAGCTCCTAGACGTACATCTCCCAAAGAAAGTAGCAGTAGTGCACTGCAGAGATCACATGATGGATGTGGTAGTTACATATTTTCCTGCCAAACTGAAGTGTAGGGGTGGAGTCTAACCTGACAGTAAGTTCACAGTCTGATGTAGACTCCTTGTGGGCATGACCTCCTTCCTCATAAGAAGGATCCTGGGAACCTCGCCACCCGTCTCTGCCTTCACCTTCCTGGTGATGCCATGTGGAGATGCATCCACCACCATTGGATCCACAAGACTTTGTACCCACCAGTCAGTGATGTTCCTGCAGTCTGCATCATTGCATGTGGCTTTGTGAGTCTGAAGAGGTACCTGTGGACTAATATCGGATTTATGGACTTGAGTTGGACTGGACTGTTTTATTGATGCATAATTACTTTTTGATATGAAGCTGTTTCTTATTCATATATGAATGTCACTGAATTTGTTTCTCTAGTCAACCCAGCCTAACACAAAGGGAAAGGGCAAAGTTGCATTCAATAAAGGGATGGGCAAATAGAGATTTGTAAGGGAAACTGAGATTAACAGAAGTCCTCCAGAGTTTGAGGGCCCACTGGTCCCTTACTTTTGCAGCTGAAAACATTAAGTCCTCCCATAAAGTCAGAAAAAGTCCAAGAGGTCACCAAGCTTTTATTATAAGAGGTAGTTCCCAGATTCAGCTTGCTCCAAGTGATAATGGCTTTACTTTTACTTTTCATGTTAGCCAGAAAGTCAGCCAAGCCTTGGGAATATACGGTGCCTCTACCCTGCTTGGAAACCCTAATCCTCCGGCCAAGTTGATAAGACCAACCAAACCCTAAAATGCACTCTTGGCCAATTGTGCCAAGACACATTTATCCTGGATACAGGCCCTTCCCTTAGCCTTACTGAGGCTGAGGACTTACCCTACCAGCCAGCTCAAGCCACCCCTTTGAAGCTTTGTATGGAAGGCTTTTCCAGTGTTCCACTGTGTGATTTGATGAAGAAACTAACCAAATGGTTTCGTTTGTCACTCCCCAGCCAAGTGTCAAAGGCTAATAAAGGAAGTTGGGCCACAGATGCCCTTAATACCTCCTCCTACTCCCATTTGTGTGAACCCAAGCCCTCATAGAAACATGGCCTAATTAGGTTCCGGGTGATCCATCTTTATAGAAGGGCCAAATGGAAGGGGACCCCAATGTGGAAGGGCCCCTAGCCTGTTTTATTTTCTACCCTCACGGGAGTGCAAGTGCCCAGCATGTCCAGCTGGATCAAGTATACCAGTACTAAGCCTTACATATCCACAGGGACCAGCAGCCCAGAGGAAGAGGCCAACTTAGCAGGAAGTCCTGCACCACAAAGCACCTTGGCCTGAACAGCTTGAGGCTTAAGTACCTTTACAAGAAAGAAGTACTCTTCCCACATTCCCGGAATGTTCCTCTGTACTTTCACTGTTTCCCTTGGAATAAAACTTTGCTTTGCTTTACACTGTCTCCCAGGATGACATAGATCCGAGGATTAGAGCCAACCCGGGACTCACCGTAACACATAACCATTTTAAGTGTTAAATAACCAACTACATGTACCACTGGGATCCATACCAGATAGCACAGATAGAGAAGAAACTCTTATCAGCTTCAGCCTTATGGGGTGGGGGGCGGAGGGGGCTTATAACTCAGGCTCTCCAGGTTTCCTCTCCCACTCACTAGAACTCAAAGGTCAAGCTTCACTTAGGAAGGTCTTTTTTGGCATGAGATTGTGTGTCTATCTGTCCTTCCCTTTGCCAATAAGGCTTATTCCCCCATATCTCAGCTTGAAAATAGATAAGTATCCCGCCCCAGTGGCCATTCCTGATCACTGCAGTAACTACTACTTAGCTTTAAAAAAATATTTTTTAACCTGACCTTAATTCTATCAGCTAAATTACAGTATTGGTTTCTTGCATACGTCTCCCCAGCATTGGCCCCCAAAATGCAAGTCCCATAAGATCAGCGGTCTAGCTCTGTGCTGCCCACTGCTGTCACTCAAGCGGTATTTGCTGAGTGAATGAGTGAACGAAGGAAGGAAGGTATACATGTAGACACCAGGAATATCCGAACCCCTGCCTTCGCGTGACTCCAGAGACCCAGGAGGGGAAGCGGCTACTCAAGGTCACCCAGCACTGTGGGGTCAGGGGCCAGCCTGAGCTTCAGGACCCACACGCCACCCTGTTCGATCCCCCACGCGCTCACCTCCTCCCGCAGGTACGCGTACTTCATCGGCTCCGCCTGCCGGGCCGCCCAGTTCTTCTGTTTCCTCTTCATTTCCCGGTCGAAGAGGTTCAGGGTCCTGGGCGAGGAGGCAGTGTGCGGGGGAGAGACGCCCGAGGCGACCTCCCTGCGCCTCGGGTTCTGCACGGAAACTCCAGCCGCCCGAGGTCGCCGCCATGGACGGTAGAGAACCTGGAGTCGCAACATTTTTAAAGGTGACACCACCGGCCGGCGCGCTCCGCCGGCGCGCGCGCACCGCTGCTCCGGCGCCCCCTTAGGGATCTTCGCAAAGGGCCCTGCGGAAGAAGTTTGGCCCAGCTCGCCTGCCGTTGGGCGTGGAGGCACGCGAAGCATTATGGGTGTGGACTCCATGTGATTGGGCGCCTGCAAAGGAGGTCGGAAGTGGGCTGTTGGACCCTTGAGACGTCGGTGGGAAACGAAGAAGCAGTTTCGGACCCGGCGTCTTGTGAATTCGTGAGTGGAGCATCCCTTCCTTTTGGCCTCTCCGATCCCCTTGTTTGAGCTTCCTTGACCCCCCCCCCTCGCCGTGCACCTCAGCGCAATAGCTGCTGTGGGAACTATTGGCATCGATCTCAATGGGCATCGATCCTGGTGGGACAGGTTAGAGGGGCAGGGTGGGCTACAGAGGTCAAAGTGGGCGTTGGATCTGAGAGGTCTGATCTCGTCTGTTCGTAGATGTGGCATTTATTAAGTGGTTTCATCCTAAACATTTACACGTGTCACCTTTACTAGTCAGATGGTACAGAAGATATGTCGGAAGGCTGTTCAGTGGGCGTTAAGTGCTTTTCTCATAAAAGTACTCTTAAAACAGTATCTGGCACATAAGAATTTGCTGTTATTTTCTGTATTTTGGCTGCTAAAGTGTATAACTGCACCTTTGAAACTCCTTCCCCACCCCCCACATACACCCAGTTAAGGCATAAAAAAGGTTGTTTTATGGGGTGGGGGTGGGGTCGCGGATAAACCAGTCAAGCCTCGTTTTGGTCACCCCCTATTTGATTTTTATCTCCGTTAACATTTGGCATTTAGTAAAAAGCAAATCCAAAGATGCTAAGGCATTGGTGACTGTTTTCAAGCCAACAATACTAAAGTTTGTGTGTGAGGATATATACGGTATATACATATGTGTATGTACCTCTAATAGCATCTATCTAACATAGATAGAAAAATATATACTCATTAACTGGAGCGAGACATACCTGGTTTTTGTTTGTTTTCATACCCGTTTTTTTAAGTGAGGAGGAAGTTGTGAACTAAACGAAACAATTTGATCTGTATGAAGTACTTTGGAGGCTGGCCTTGCAGAACTACAGACAGTGCAAATGGGACCAGAATGCAAAGAAATAAGGGGGACGGACTTAGTGTTGGAAGGGTTTTTAATACATTAACTTTTGACTTATAATACAAATAAGAATACACTTAGAAATTTTGAATGACATTTCCTCCAAAATAAAGCTCTGGGATTCTAGTTGGCTTTGCCTTGAATTTAATTCTTTAAATATTTTCAAATGAAAGGAGGATATTATGATATGTTTGGTTTTCTACATCTGACCCAGAGCAAGTTGGGGAAATAAATGTAACTTAGCATTTGGTGTATTCATTATTTCTCAAAAAATTTTATTTAATTGTACATCTAATTCCGCATTATCATACATCTGTTTTGTTTTTCAGTATTTGGTTTGTCAAACCGGTGTCCAGCCAGAGGTTTAAAAATGGCATCCAAACAAGAAATACTAAGTGACCAGCGGTTTAGACGGGTTGCAAAGGACCCTAGATTTTGGGAAATGCCAGAAAATGATAAAAAGGTCAAAATTGACAAGAGATTTCGAGCCATGTTTCATGACAAAAAGTTCAAGTTGAACTATGCTGTGGATAAAAGAGGGCGACCGATCAACCACAGTACTACAGAGGATTTAAAACGTTACTATGACCTTTCTGATTCGGATTCAGATCTCTCTGATGAAGAAAGCAAAGCCCTGAAGCAAAAGAAAATGAAGAAAAAATCCCAGATTAAATTAGGACCAGATTCAAAAACTCTAGTCAAAAAGAGTAAGAAAGGCACCAAGAAAATTAATCAAGAGAATTCTGAAAGTGAAACTGAATTAAATAATTCTGAGAAAGTTAAAAAAGCCACATCCTTTAAATCTAAGAAGTTGGATTCCAAAGTAAGTCCAGAGAAGGATAGCAGAGACTTTATATCGAAAGGTACAAAAGAGAAAAAAGATGTTATTCAGCATAGTGCAGACAACTGTCCTAAAGGAAAGCTAAAGAGAGTTGACTCCGACAACATTGCAACTGTGAAATTGCCCAAGGCCAAGTGTTCTGAGACAAGAAAAAAACCATCAGGTTGGTTGGAAAGAATTAGAGATTCTTTAATGTTACATTATTTCTTTTTTACGCTGGTCTTTTAAAATGTAAACACATTAATATTTATTTTCACAGTGTAATGGGAATGGTACTATTTATTTGGAAAAATAAACCTATGACAGAAAAACATACAGTAGAGTGGTTATTAATTTTTTAATTTGGTGCCGTAATGGCTAAAAGACAAATGGATGAGAGTTTGAAGCTAAATAATCTTGATTTGTGGTTGCCACTCCTGAGAGCTATTTTATAACCCGAGAAATTGCTAATCAGTACAGTGTTTCTGCAGCAGGTAGGTAGAGTTGGGTACTCATGCATCCCTTTATTTGCTTAACAAATACTTAGTACCTGCTATTGGTAGATAGAAAGAGCCCTAATGGTGCTGTTGGGTAAACACTGAACTTCAAGGTTTAAGCCCCGTAGCTGTTCCACAGGAAAAAAGAGGAGGCTGTCTGCTCCAGTAAAGATTTACAGCCTTGGAAACCTAGGTAGCAATTTTACTCTGTACTATAGGTCATTGTGAATCAGAATCTAGTTGATGGCAGTTTTCAGTTTATTGGCAGATAAGAGGTGCTTGGTGGTGGTGTGGGTTAGGCATTGGACTGGTAACCTATAAAGTCAACAGTGCAAACTGTACCACAGTCTTATGAATCCGAATAGACTAGGTGGCAGTGATTTTGGCTGAAAGAAGGACATGAGTAAGATAGCTTTTCATCCCAGAACTACTGAGCTAAACTATGCTGTGTCCAATTAAGGAAAGTCATCTCCGGAGATGCAGAGCTCCGAGAAAAGAATTGGGTCAGGTGATAAGATTCCTTCAGTGAACCAACAGATTCTCTTCCTGAGTGGACAGTGCCCCCTTCCAGTAGAATTCATGAATTGGTGAGAGGGTCTTGGCTTGATTTGCATGTGGTTTTGTTTAACAAATAACAACCTACTACACTATTAAGGAGCCCTCATTGTATAGTTACAAATTGGGCTGCTAACCACAAGATGGGCAGTTTGAAACCACTAGCCCCCACTACGTGGGAAAAAGATTGGTCTTAGCATTTCTACCTTGCCCTGTAGGGTCTAATGAGTCAGAATTGACTTGATGTCAGTGAGTTTGGTTTTGTTTGTTGCTTTAAACCCTATAAAACGACTCTTTTCTAAAGCAGCACTGTCTAATAGAAATGTGAAGTTTGGGATTTTTCAGTAGCCACATTGAAAAGGTAAAGAAAAACATATAAAATCAACTTTAATATATTTTATTTAATCCAATATATAAGAAGTGCATATTGTCATTTTGACATGTAATCAGTGTTTTTAAATTTAATAGAATATTTTACTTAAAAGTGATTTAAATTAATTCAAATCTGGTACTTTGCTCTTAGAGCACAACTTGATTTGAACTAGCACTGTCAGGTGCTCAGTGGCCACATGTGGTTATGGGCTAACATTGAACAATAGATCGTAAATAGAAGATTAAATTCAATCATAATACAAAATCAAATATAAGAGTACTATAAAATAAATTCATCAAAATGCTATGAGAAACCAATTAAATTTGGAGGCCTGACCATTCACATAGGAAGAATCTAAACAAAGGTAAAGTTAGGCATGTCAGAAGAGATCCAATGTAATAACTAGACTCTGAAAGGGTGAGTGGCGAATAGTGTTAGAAATGGGTAGAATTAGGGAAGAAGTGCCGGGTTCTAGTTCATGTCTACTAGCTTTATTAGTTTTGTATCATACTTACCTGGCAGGGGAGATCCCATGATCACGAAGGTGGTTTTCCCAGGGCGAGGCTCACCATTGCACTCCGGATGTGCTGACACCTGTGATTTCCCCAAATGTGGGAAACTCGACTGCATAATTTGTGGTAGTGGGGGACTACGTTCGCGCTCTCCCCTTAAAAAAATAAAGTTTTGTATCACTTCTGACAGTTGTAAAATTTGAGTGTTGGTACTGTTAACAGTTCATGTTGTAACCGAGAATTAGTTGTTCCAATGATGTAGTAAATATTGACTGGCTATAATCACAGGAACCAAGTAGAGTAAGCATCAGGAAAAGACAGAAATGTCCTTACAAACTTTACAGGGAAGATAAGACATAGCAGGCAGTACACAAAATTGTAGGTACCTACCTGGCCAGTGCTACCTTTTTCTTCACTATAGTTCTAGATTGCCTTTCTAATTGACTTATTCATATTCAGTCTTGACTTTCTCCAGTTTTATACAGTGTAGTCAAGGTGATTTCCTCAGTATGCAAATATCTATTCTGAAAATAAGTCAGTAGTTTGTATGACAAAGTGCAAAATTCCCTACATGCTTGTTGGATAATATGACTACTATCTAAGCTCTAGCTTTATTTCTTCCTGGATTGCTTGCTGTTAGCTGTCCAATACGATTGCAGACATTTTCTTGTAAGTAGTTCTTTACGGATGCTTTCTTTACTGTTTGCAACAAGTTCCCTTTATTAACCTAATTTTGACTACTTAATACTCTTGCTCTTTAAAGTAGTAGCCCAGTTCTTACTCACTTAATCCAAAACCAAGCCACAACCCTTCATAGGGGTTCCAAGACTGCAGATCCTCACAGGAGCAGGCAGCTTTCTCTTTCTCCCACAGCTGCTAGTGAATTTGAGCTACTGACCTTGAGGTTAGTAGCCAACATCTAGCCCACAGAGCCACCTTATCACTCACCTCCAGAGTCGCTGTGAATCGGCATTGACTATATGGCAGTGAGTTTAGTTGTGGTTTGTATAGCATTATTCTTAGCACTTGTCCTTGTTTTAATTTTCACTTTTGTGTATGTATTGATTTATTTGACTAATATTCGTCTGTCTATGCTCTGTTCGCATACAGGTTACACCGGTGGTTCTCAACCTTCCTAATGCCGTGACCCTTTAATACAGTTTCTCATGTTGTGGTGCCAACCATAAAATTATTTTTGTTACTACTTCATAACTAATTTTGCTACTATTATGAATCAGGTGACCCCTGTGAAGGGGTCTTTCGACACCCCCCCCCAAGGGGTCATGACCCCCAGGTTGAGAACCGCTGGGCTGCACTAACTACAAGGTTGGGTTCTAACCTACCAGACATTCTAGAGGAGAGAGATGAGGCCACCTGCTTCAGTCTAGATTTGAAGTCTCAGAAATCCAAAATCCTATATGATCTCTTTGAGTGGAAATCAACTCAATGGCAGTAAGTTTGGTTTGGGTTTAGTTTAGGTTTTAGTATCCTCTTCACTGAGGACAGCTGTTGATTCTTTTGCCTACCCTTAGATATCGCATACCAAACACCCCAGATATTAATTGAAGGAATTTATGGATCTACTTGCATAATCTGGTTATATTTTTTCAATTAAGTAGCTTGGTTAGGCTTGGATTTCACTGAATTTATATTTTGCTCCATTCTCTTTTGTTAAATGGCATTTTTATCTGGATTTGATGTCAAAATAATTTTTATTCAGTTTACCTCCATGTTTGTATTTTCTTGATTTCTCTCCCTGCTTTGGTTCCATGTATAATGGCAGGAAATGGTTATGAAAACTCACCAGAAGGTAAAACATGTGAAGATTCTCTGGTGGAATATTCAGAACGTACTAGCGAAACATATGATGAGGAATCCGAAGATGAAATTACAGGGGTTGGTAGAACTTCAGCTGACGATGACGACAACGACGATGATGATAAAATAGATAATGAAGATGAGGAAGAGGATGAGGATGATGAAAGTGATAGTGGCCCAGACCTTGCTAGGGGCAAAGGAAATGTAGAAACTAGTTCTGAAGATGAAGATGATGAAGAACTAATTCCAGAAGAATTTGGTTTTGAGCATGCTTGGAGAGAATTAGATAAAGATGCTCCTCGGGCTGATGAGGTAATCTTGTTAATAAGATTTTATTTGAAAAAAACTATGTATATATATTTATGAATAGTAGAATTGCTGTTATTTAAGAAAAAAATTATTGCTAAATCTCTTAGTATTATGATTAAATTTTCTTACTTTGGGATTATAAATTAGAAGTAGGAAAAGATGTGTAAGGAAAAGGTTCTACAATGCAAGTACCAGGCAAGCTGTAGAAAATTTTTTTGTTTTAGCTCAATGTATACTAGCTCCTTCCACACTTATTAGAAATGCTACATGAAATGTGTATTCAACTTGCATACTCATGCATAGTTGGCATATGGCTCAACATACATGATAACTAACAAATCATCTCATCCTGTCCTGATCCAAGAAATAAGAAAAAAAATAAGAAAGCGGTTCTCTGTTGGTGGTCTTATTTGAAGTTCTTTTTTTACATATTGAAATCACTTGAGCATCTGCTGTATAAATCATTTCTAATTTTTGTATATTTAGTAAGTCCTGAGGAGCTCTGATTACATAGTGGGTTATGCATTGAGCTGCTCATCACATGGTCAGCAGTTCAAAACTGCCATCTGCTTTACAGGAGAAAAATGAAGCTACTACTCCCTTAAAGATTTATGGTCTCAAAAACTGACAGGACCATTTATATTGCGTCTATCCTACAGGGTTGCTCTGCGTTAAAATCAACGTGATGGCAGTGATGTTGAGTTTATTAAAGCACTGGGGCTGATACTGTGTGACATCTTGTTTTGCAGATTACACATCGATTAGCAGTTTGCAACATGGACTGGGATCGATTAAAAGCAAAAGATTTGCTGGCTTTGTTCAATTCATTTAAACCTAAAGGAGGTGTTATATTTTCTGTAAAGGTGAGAATTTATTTTATTTCTGGACTAAGCATTTCTAAATATTTTTAAGTTAAGTCTGGTTTTTTAATGAATACATTTTCCTATTTTATAAAAAATTGTTTATTTTTTCCCATCTCCCTTTCCTTCCCCCAGTCTCCCTCAAGTGGAAAACATTTCTCTTGATTTTTTCTCTTTTAAAAAGTGGTCTCATGCAGTGTTGGTCTTTACAAGATTAACTTACATTGCTGAGCATGTCTCCCAAGTTCATCAATGTTAGGAGATGTTTGATAGTTTCAACATGTTTACAGATGCATACTGTTCGTTATGTGTATTTACCAAAGTTTTTTTATCCATTCCTACAAAAACAAGCATTTTGACTGTTTCCAACTTTTTGCTACTGTGGATAGGGCTGTGATAAACAAGTTCATATATATTTGTTTATGTTTTGTTCTTTATTTTTGCTAGGAGGTATATGCCAGTAGAGAGATTACTGAGTCACGTGATATTTCTATTAGCATTTGTTTAAGGAAGCATTATACTTTTTCCACAGTGGCTGCACACTTAAGCAATCCTACCAGCAATGCGTTAGGCTGAGTTGTCCAGAGAAACAAAAACAGTACATCTCATATATGTGTAAGAAAGAACTTTATATGAGGACCTAATGTCGGGGGTTTAAATGGAGAGGAAATGTTTTGAGAAACGATGTACAAATGCGCTTTACACAATTGATGTGTGTATGGATTGGGATAACAGTTGTATGAGCCCCTAATAAAATGTTAAAAAAAAAAAAAAAAAAAAAAGAAAGAAAGAACTTTATATCAAGAAGTAATTTTATATCAAGACGTCCAGCCCAGTCCAACTCCAGTTCATGGGTCTGATGCTACCTGCAGCTCTTCAGAGGCCTATAGCTATAGGCCAATGCTAGAAAAAGTTGGAGAATGGAGGGAGGTCATAGGCCCATGGGTGCAGAGTCTTCAGTGATAACTTCATGAGGCTAGTATTAAACAGGACCACATTAAAAAGGAAAACAACTAACTGTTCTAAGAATATAGCTTATGATCAAGTGCAAGCTCATATTTTATTTGTATACCTAAAGTTTAAATATATCTCTGGTCAACTTTGTGATGGTTAGGTCCCATTGGGTCTGTTTCTACCTATAGCTACCTTGGCACAACAAAAGAAACCACTACCTGGTCTTCCACCATCCTCACAATTGATCCTAAGCTTGAGCCCACTGTGCTGGTCTGCTTTGTGAGGGCCTTCCTCTTTTCCAGTGCCCCTCTACTTTACCAAGCACAGTGTCCTCCAGGACTCAGCTTGGCTGACAACATGTCCAAAGTATATAAGAAGTCTCACCATCGTTGCCTCAGGAGCATTCTGGCCATACTTCTTCCAAGACAGATTTGTTTGTCCTTTGAGCAGTCCATGATACTTTCACTATTCTTTGCCAGCATCATAATAAAACTGCCTCAATTCTTCAGGGTTCCTAATTCAGTGTCCAATTTTGACATGGATATGAGGTAATTGAAATGACCATGGCTTGGATCAGGTGTACCTTTGTCCTCAAAGTAACGTCCTTCATTTTCCACACTCAAAAGAGGTCGTGTGCAGCAGATTTATCTAATGTAACTTGCCTTATGATGTCTTAACTGCTGCTCCCGTGAGCATTGCTTGTGGATCCAAGTCAGATGAAATCCTCGACAGCTTCAACCTTTTCTCCATTGATCATGATGTTATCTATTGATCCAGTGTGAGGATTTTGACCTTTACACTGTTTTAATCCATACTGAAGGCTACAGTCTTTGATCGTCAGCAAGTGACTCGTGTCCGCCACACTTTCAGTAAGCTTGTGTCATCTGCATATTTTCCAATCCAGATGCTACATTGTTCTTCATAATAATCTAGATTTTCTGATGATTTGTTCAACATAGATTAAATAAATATGGCGAGAGGATACAACCCTGATATACACCGTTTTGGGGGGGGGTTGTTTGGTTTTGCATTTTTAAATCATTTTATTAGGGGCTCGTACAACTCTTTATCACAATCCATACATCCATCCATTGTGTCAAGTACATTTGTACATTTGTTGCCATCATTCTCAAAACATTTGCTTTCTACTTGAGCCCTTGATATCAGCTCATTTTTCCCACTCCCTCATGAACCCTTGATAATTTAGAAATTATTATTTTGTCATATCTTACACTATCCAGTGTCTCCCTTCACCCACTTTTCCATTGTCCATCCCCCAGGGAGGAGGTTATATGTAGATCCTTGTAATCGGTTCTCCCTTTCTCCCCTCCACCCTCCTGGTTTCGCCACTCTCACCACTGGTCCTGAAGGGATCCTCTGTCCTGGATTCCCTGTGTTTCCAGTTCCTATCTGTACCAGTATACATCTTCTGGTCTATCCAGATTTGTAAGGTACAATTGGAATCATGATGGGGGGATGGGGGTGGAGGAATCATTTAAGAACTAGAGGAAAGTTGTATGTTTCATCATTGCTACCTTACTCCCTGACAGGCTTGTCTCTTCCCCATGACCCTTCTGTAAGGGGGTGTCCAGTTGCCTACAGATGGGCTTTGAGTCTCCACTCTGCACTCACCCTCGTTTACAATGATATGATATTTTGTTCTTTGATGCGGGATACCTGAGCCCTTCGACACCTCGTGATCACCCAGGCTGGTGTGCTTCTTCATGTGGGCTTTGTTGCTTCTGAGCTAGATGGCCGCTTGTTTACCTTCAAGCCTTTAAGACCCCAGACACTATATCTTTTAATAGCCGGGCACCATCAGCTTTCTTCACCACATTTACTTATGTACACATTTGTCTTCAGCGATCATGTTGGGAAGGTATGCATCATGGAATGCCAATTTAATAGAACAAAGTGTTCTTGCATGGAGGAAGTACTTGAGTGGAGGCCCAATGTCTTTCTGCTGCCTTAATATTAATATGTGCACGTAGATCTATTTCCCCATCATCCTACATAAATATATTTACATATGTACATGCCTATGTTTAGACCTCTATAAATGCCCTTTGAATCCTAGTTCTTTCCTCTATTTCCTTTTACTTTCCTCTTGTCCCACTATTATGTCCAGCCTTCATTTGGATTGTTTTGTTTTGTTTTTTAAAGCATGCTGCATTCTCTTGTTCGATTCACTTGCCTTTGATCCATACACAAGTTTCTGCAAGAATACAATGTAGTTCTCTGGAATTGTCATTCTTCTCAAGGCTTTCCATATTTTGTTATGATCTGTACAGTCAGTGCCACAAGTAAACATCTTTCTGGTATTCTCTACTTTTAGCCAAGTTCCATCTGAAATCAGCAGTATTCCACATTCTCTTCTGAATCTGGCATGGAACACTAGTAGCTCTCTATCAGTCTAGTGCTGCTACTATTGTTGGATGATCTTCAGCAAAAGTTTACCTGCATGTGATGTCAGTGATTTTGTTTATAATTTGAGCATTCTGTTGGGTCACATTTCATTGGAATGGACCCTTAAAAGGCTATAATACATGGGATTTTCACTTATTCAGGTTTAAAACTTAAGTAACTGAACACTGTTAAAGCAATGAGGATTAAGCACAACTTAAAATTGCCATAACGCTCATTCACTAAGACAAAACTATGGCTGGAGGACTAATACGTCATAAAAAGCAGTGTGAAAATAGCAAGTATGTGGTAGTTCTAGATGGCCATTTATTGGGCAACCTCAAAAGCAAGTGATTTACATCAAAGTCCATTGACTCCTCTGCTTCTGCAAATGCAGTGTTTCAGTTTTATGTCTAGAGTATTTCAGTTCTTTTAATCTGTAGTAGATGTGTTTAAGGTAAAGTCTGGGTCCCTTGTGGGATTTTCAGATCACATAATTCTGATGTGGTCTATGAAAAATGCTGTGCATCTCAAAAAGACAATACAGTGAACCCTCGCCACTTCGCGCTTCGACTTCCGCGGCTTCACTCTTATCGTGGTTTTTGCGTAACAGCGCATGCTCTGTCATTACTGTCACTGATTGACTCATACTGTACACGCTTCTGTCTGCATCGCTACGTATCGGAGCTACGTATCAGATGCATTTTTGCTTTTGTACAGTGTACTGTAATTGTTTGCGATTTTTAAGAAATTTTATCTAAGCCCTATGATGGCTCCTACACGAGCTGCTTCTTCTAAGCCTTCTGACAATAAAAATAAGCGCCAGAGGAAGATGCTCACCATCCAGGAAAAGGTAAAACTTTTGGATATGATCAAAGATGGCAAGAAAATCGTGGAGGTTGCACGCCATTTCGACTTGAATGAGTCTTCCGTTCGCTCCATCCGTAAAGAGGAAAAAAACATCCGTGCTACGGCTACTTTCACTTTCAACAAGGAAGCAAAGCGCATCATGACAAGGAATCCTACTTCGCGGAATTTCATTTATCACGGTACGGTCTAGAACCGATTAACCGCGATAAACGAGGGTTCACTGTATCTAAAATCCAGGTAGCTATAGCATGTAGCCAGGGTCATGGAGGGCTGAAAAGAAGTTTGGTTAAAAATGCATAATTGGCAAGATGATTAGAGTTTTCCCCAAGAGCAGGCTCTCCCTTGAATTACCCAACAGACCTGAAATCACCTCAGGGACAAATACTCCCCCTCTCCTTTGAGCATGAATTCTCATCCAAATTCACTCATCACCATTATTACTCTTACTCTCCCTGCTATTGAGTTGGTTCTCTAGGTCATGATAGAGCTACCCCTGTGAGTTTCAGACTATGATTCTTTACAAGAGTAGAAAACCTTATCTTGCTCCTGCAGAGCACTTGATGGTTTCAAACTGCTGCCCTGTGGTAAGCAGCCCAATCACATTGTAATCTGATCATGCTATTTCTTTAAGAAATTTGAAAACACTTCTAGTCTTGTCAGTGATTGTCAGTACTGCTGAGATGGATTCGCTTATGTGTTTGGTCATTAGTCCACGTTGATAGTTCCTCCGTATCTGATAAAAAGGTGTCTGACATTTTCCTTAGCCTTCTCCTTTTCAATGTAGCCAATCCTTTACTAGGTTAGAGAATTTTTTCTTTGCTTTTGAGAAACATAATGATTGTTAAGTGCAACATGAATTAAATTGCAGGCATTATGCAGTGCATGACTGAATAAAGCTACTGCAGTGCTGTTATTATTTAACTTTTAGTGGGGCCAAGTGGGCACTTTGACTTACCACTAACTGCATGGCAAAGATTAATAGATCCAAACTTCGTCTTCCTACCTCTCTGTTCCTTGTTTCCAGTCAATTCTTCATTTTCTCTCATCTTAACCAGCCAGTTAGGTCAGATGTCCCTGGCCACGTAGGGCCAGGGATGCTAGCTATAAGCTCAAGAGCCTGCACAACTCTACACTTCAGACCGTCTAGCTCCTTTCTGAACCGTAGGTCACCAACTAGAGAGACTGTCCTTTTTCATGAACTACCATGTCACCTTTCTCCATCTCTCAGCTACCCAAAGCTGTGTAGTATTCACTAACGGACTCCCTGTGCAGCTGTCTTCTGTCCAGCCACCCAAAGCCCATGAGGATATGAGTTAACACTTTGCCCTTATGATTGCCTGTGATCCTTTTTAATTAACCACTCCAAGATAAGTCAATGTCATTGCCATTTTGTGGATTTGTTAATTTTCTGTAATGACCTATACTTATACGCATTTATTATAACCAGAGAAGATACAAGTAAAGAGATATATCAGACAAGATCTTGGAGAATTCCTGAAAAAGGTCTTCATTGTCCCTCAAAGAGTGGAAGGTGGTATATCCATACAATGGCATTTTTTCCACCTTAAAGAGAAATCTGTATTATATTTCATGTGACATGAATGAACCTTGGAAACATTATTCTGTGTGAAATAAGACAAAATGACAAATATTGTAGGAATAGCAAATTGATTAACGTAAAAGTTCGTGATAATCCGAGATGAAGAAGAAGGGGATGGGAATGCTAGCTGAGGGATCACCCAGTTTCTGTTTATCATGATGGAAAACCTTTCAAAACTGATGGTGATCGTGGTTTTACAATATGGTGAATTACATATTTAAAAGTATTTAAGATGGTAAGCTCTATTCTGTGTACTCCAATAAAACTTTTTAAAATTAAACCACAAAAACAATAAAATGGAATTGCATATGTGCTAAATCTTGTATTTCAGATTTGAAAGTGAATCACTCTGTTTTCATTGAGTCTAATTAGGTTTCAGACCTTGGCCAGTCTGGATTTTATTTGAAAAGGAAAGTATAAATTGTGTTCATCTTATTTTCTGTGTTTAGATCTACCCATCAGAGTTTGGAAAGGAGAGGATGAAGGAAGAGCAAGTTCAAGGACCAGTGGAGCTATTGAGTATTCCTGAAGATGCCCTTGAAAAAGACTGGTATTGAGTCACTTTAGAAACTAACTTAATAAATTCAACCTGAGCAATTCTTGTCACTGTTTCAGAATTCTGGTCACTTTACCAGTATTGAAGTTCACACGTATGCTATTTAGGGTTTAAACATTAATAGTCTATCTGACATGACACACAACTTCAACAACATTTTACAAAGGTTTTTTGAAAGTAATTATTATCATTTAAAAAATAAATTTTATAATTAAACTGATTTAGAGTTTACAGTTTGATTATTCTCGTTTAGTAATTTTTTTTTCTGAGATGTTGCTTTCTATATACATGACATTAAAACTTTGTTACCTTCCAAACAGGATTAAATAAGTAAAAGAATAATTAAAAACTCGTAAGTGATTTTGTTAACCACTAGATGGAGCTCTACATATACATACGGTGGTTACAGGAAAGGACAGATACAGAGACCTTCAAAAATGTGTTGTAGTTATGAAATTACATTTGATGACACCTGAATCTGAAGCAAACAATTTTCAAAATCAGGAATATCTTTCTAATTCGAACTAATAATGTTCTACCACATTTTATAATACTGTCCAGTGGTTTTACATGAGGATGCACAATCTGTTAGCTCATCAAAACAAATGATTGAGAAATAAAATTATAAATAAGTTCATCTCGAATTTTTTTCTTGATACCAAGTTATAGTCAACATAGCTGAAGTGTTTACTTTGTCAGAACAATAGGTTGAGTATACGTAGTTAGTGTTCACACAGGCAAAGTCACGGAGGATTGATGACATGGAATAAAGACTGCTGTATGAGGAGGCTCCAAAGAGTTTATGGAATTAAATGTAATGGAAAACTTCTACTAACTGTTTGAAAGCCTTATATATTATTTGAAACAATTTTTTTTTTCCTTTTTATGAGATAGGTTGTCTGTCTTGTCGTGTAAGTGAGCTTAACAAGTGTTTTCTTCTTTTAGGGCATCTAGAGAAAAATTAAGGGATTATCAATTTAAACGCCTGAAGTACTATTATGCAGTAGTAGACTGTGATTCTCCTGAAACAGCCAGTAAAATTTATGAAGATTGTGATGGGCTAGAATTTGAAAGTAGTTGTTCTTTCATCGATCTGAGGTAATCCAGTGTGTGTCTTCGCATTGCAATATTACAGCTACATGATAATGAGGAGGAGAGTACTGAAACTAACCGTGCCCTTGCTTGTTTCATATTCATTAAGAGGGTTTTCTTTTTTTTTGCTTTTGGATGAGCTCAGACCTGTGGATCATCACTGCTAACAAAACACTGGAAGGAGAAAATGCAGAAGTATAGTGTATAATTCTCCCTGTGTTTGTGTTTTTTTCAAATACATCATCTGTACATGTTGGCTGATGGATTATATGCACTAATTTTTTTTCAACTTGCTTTTAGAGCTAGGAACCACTTAAAGTAATTTTTAAAAAGTATTGAGGTGGGGCCAGAGGAATTTAATACACTGGTGCCTCTGGGTCTGCATTGTCCTATACAAGTAGCCACATCTCTCTATTTTATTAGAATTAAATTTAAAATTTAATTTCTTAAAAAGTAAAGGGGAAATACACATGGATTAAATCCCTGGTGAATGCTCTCTGACCATGGACCAGGGATGTGAATATCCTTGCTTAATATGCAGAATGCACTGGAAAATGGATTGTTACAGATGCAGCTAGGTTAAAATTTAACATCATATCATTTGATCTCTTTTATGATCTATTTAAATTTGTTCTAGTTTTTAATTTTTTTGCTTTCTTTTTGATTAAAGCTTTTGTCTTTCACTTTGTTATTATTGAGTTTTTGGTTGGTTTTTTTTTTTTTATGTTTTTCTGTGTGTGGAATCCAGTTTAGGTCAATCTATAGAGACAGTAATTGGATTAATGGTTCTTTGGGGACATGGCCATAAAGGTAGGGGGAGTAATGGGAAACTAATAATAATGAGTACAATAATGAAGAAAATGTTCTAAAATTGATTGTGGTGATAATTGTACAACTCTTCTTGATGAGATTGAACTATGGAATTACATGATATGTGAATTATATGCCAATTAAACTGTTGGGGAAAGTTTAGTTTTTTAGTTTCATAAACAACATCTCAAGTACTCAAGGGCCATAGATTGAATAGAGCCCCATCAAACCCACCGCCATCATGCTGACTCAGACTCATTGACTGTCAATCTTTATGCGAGCAGGAATTTCAACTTGCTCTCACAGAGTGTCTAGATCAGTGGTTCTCAACCTTCCTAATGCTGCTACCCTTTAATACAGTTCCTCATGTTGTGGTGACCCCCAACCATAACATTATTTTCGTTGCTACTTCATAATGGTAATTTTGCTGCTGTTAAGAATCGGGCGACCCCTTTGAAAGGGTCATTCGATCCCCAAAGGGGTTGCAACCCACAAGTTGAGAGCCGCTGGTCTAGTGGGTTCAAATTGCTGACCTTGCAGTTAGCAACTCCATCTGTTATCCATTCCACCAGATTTAGAATAGCGCCATCATCACAGAAAGTTATATTGAACAGCATTACTTTAAAGTTACTTCAGTGTCTGAATGATATTGACGCCTTATTTTCACAGTTGGGCATTAATTTCACCACACGTTCAAGCTTCACTTACCCAGAACTAAAAAGCTGTAGATGGTTATGAATGTCAGTTCTAAGGAAATAAGAAAATAAACTGTAATTAGCTTAGTCCCCCCGAACCCACTACACTCTTGTGGCATTTCCAATAGAATCCACTTTGGCTTTCCAGATTTGTTATCAAAATAAAATATTTCAGGGGGATGAAAAAAACATGCATTGCCAACAAGTCGATCCTGAATCATAGCGACCCTCTAGGACAAACTAGAACTGCCCCTGTGGGTTTCTGAGACTAAATCTATACAGAAGTGGAAAGCCTCAACAATGTATCATTTCATATTTCAAAGATAATCAAGTTGATAAACAATTACCATAAGAGATTGGGGATTTTGCATTTGGGACAAGGCTCCGCTGCATTTAAACATGCAGCAAGAAGACATGATCTATTTTTTATCTTTTCTGGTAGCCATTGTAGTAGAAGGCTTTGTCTTTACTCTTTAGGGAACAGTTACCGAACACTTGTGAGAATGTCATGCTCAAGTTTCCTGTTAGGTGTTCTTTCCTGAGTAATTATCTTACCTTTTCCCCTTCGGGGCATTGTTGTGCAGCACTGGAATAATCCCTAGTTGAAGAAAGTAACAGTTACTAACCCTAAAAAAACACTTTAAAAACTTTTTTTTCTCGTTTTTTGTCACACATAGCACCATAAAGGAAAATGGAATTTTCTGCTGCCATTCAATTATCTAGGGAAGTTGTTTTCACCTGCACCAAAATATGAAAACTTGCATAATAATAGCATTTAAAATACTTGATCTTAGATGTTTATTTTTCTTGTAACAGAACTCTATCCATTTTTCTTAAACATGTGTGATTAGTGTATATAAAATAATGTCTTTCTGTGTAGACATTAACTGCAATAGTATTCATTACTCTGAGGCTTAAGGTTTATAAAACAATTGCAGTAACTAACATTTACCATATCTAAGTTATTTGTAAGGGTAAAAAATTATGAACTGTTATTATGGCTTAGACTTGAAACCTTAAACTTATCCTTCCTTTTTTTTAAATTTCAATAAATCATTTTATTGAGCTCTTATAACAATCTATACATCAGTTGTACCAAGCACATTTATACATATGTTGCCATCATCATCATTTCCAAAACATTTTCTTTCTACTTGAGCCCTTGGTATCAGCTCCTCTTTTTTCATCTCCCTCCCCTACCTTCCCACCCTTGTGAACCCTTGATAATTTATAAAATATTTTTATTTTCATATTTTACAATGTCCACTGTCTCCCTTCACACACTTTTCTGTTGTTCGTCCCCCAGTGGGGGGCGGGGGTGAGGGTGGATATCAATCGTTGCAATTCTCCCATTTTCCTCGTGGTAATGATACTCTTATTATTGTTCCTGAGGGGTTTATCTGTCCTGGATTCTGTATGTTGAGAGCTATTATCTACCAGTGTACATGCTCTGGTCTAGCCAGATTTGTAAGATAGAGTGGGGGGTCATAATAGTGGAGGGGAGGAAGCATTAAAGAACTAGAGGAATGTGTTTCGTAGGTGCTATAATGCACCCTGGCTGGCTCTTCTCTATCTTGTGACCCTTCTGTGAGGGAATGTCCAATTGTCTACAGGTGGACTTTGGGTCTCCATTCTGACCCCCCATGTTCACATTGAAATAGTTGTTTATTTGAGTCTTCTGATGTCTGATCCTGTCAACACCCTGTGATCACACAGTTTGGTGTGATTCTTCCATGTGGGCTTCATTGTTTTCCTGCTAGATGGACGCTTGCTTAACTTCAAGCATTTTAAGACCCCAGATGCTATGTCTTGTAATAGCCAGGCACCATCAGCTTTCTTCACCACATTTGCTTATGCACCCATTTTGTCTTCAGCGATCATGTCGGGAAGTA